ATCCGTTTTTAGATACTGACGCTTGGCACATATAGAGAACACGTGTATTGTTCAGGTATTCGCTATTCACGAAACGTGCCACATGATACCTACATGACGACATACTTACTTGTATTGTATGTATGTAACTTCTTTGTACATGGTACCTAAGATTGTTTGAATTGAAACCAAAAATCAAAAATTATTTTATCCTAGCTATTTTATCCTAGCTTATGTTTTATATATTAATAATTGCTTTAGTTTTTATGTGCTTTCAATTCAATACTAATTAACACTAACTGGTTTGGTCTATCATTTATATAGTGTAGTACTTTAGAGTTTAGACTATTTGTAAAATTTGATGTGGAATTCTAACAAACCCAAATATAAATTAATTAAATTAAATTATAGACTAAATACTACCACGAAATAAACTCACATCAAACTTTTGATAAACAAATAAAAAATACAAAATGTATATATGGAAAAGAACAAAATGTGATAAAAATATAATAAAGAAAAAAATATATAAAATGACGAATAAAAGAGAATCCAATACGCCAAATATAAATAAAAGGAATATATTACTTTAATTACAGTTATTTATTTTTCATATTGTACAAGGATGAGCTAGCAGATAGAAAAGCTAGAGATGGTCCATTTTAGTGATATATACTGCATGCTTTTGCATGATTTCAACATATTTATAACAATTTCTCTTTCTTGTATTTTTCTTTTGTAAAATACGATAAAACCTCTTTTTCGTTAAAATTAAGGGAGACTCACAAAAATACCTCTTTTTCAATATCTTTTTTTAAAAATGCTCCCTTTGGCTGTCCATTTTTAAAAATACCCCTTTTATGTACAAAATGACTAAATTACCCTTCTTTTAATAAAAGATATTACAAATATATAAGGAAATATAACAAAATTTGGTTCACAAAAACAAAATATTTTTGGCGGGAAAAGTGATCCCACAATTTTTCCCGCCAAAAACACTTGTAAAAACTTGTAAAACCTTTAAAATACCTTGTAAAATTTTCCCGTAAAATTTTTTCCCGCCAAAAAATTTTCCCGCCAAAAATTTTTTTTGCGGGAAAAGTGATTCCGCAATTTTTTTGGCGTTAAATTTTTGGCGGGGAAAATTTACAAGGTATTTTAAAGGTTTTTTACAAGGTATTTATAAGGTTTTACAATGTATTTTAAAAGGTTTTACAACGTATTTATAAGGTATTTATAAGATATTATAAGATTTTACAAGCTATTTTATAAGGTTTTACAAGTTATAAGATTTTACAAGTTTTTTATAAGGTTTTACAAGTTGTAAATACTTTATAAAACCTTATAAGTACCTTGTAAAACCTTTTAAAATACATTGTAAAACTTTACAAAACACTTGTAAATACTCTGTAAAACCTTTAAAATACCTTGTAAATTTTTCCCGCCAAAAATTTTCCCGCCAAAAAAATTTCGCCAAAAAAATTGCGGAATAACTTTTCCCGCAAAAAAATTTTTTTGGCGGGAAAATTTTTTGGCGGGAAAAATTTTTACGAAAAAATTTTACAAGGTATTTTAAAGGTTTTTACAAGTGTTTTGGCGGGAAAATTGGGGGATCACTTTTCCCGCCAAAAAATATTTTGTATTTTGTGGACCTAATTTTGTTTCAAATAAGGGTAAAATGGTCATTAAAAATTAAAAGAGGGCAAACTTAAAAATGGACTCTCAAAGAGGGCATTTTTGAAAAGGGGTATTGAAAAATGGGCATTTTTAACAATTTCTCTAAAATTAAAGATGTTGACCCAAAAAAAGAGGAAGCTAAAGAGATACAATAGACATTAGTGTTTAATTATAAGTAGAACAAATCAGCAAAATTAATACTCCTTCCGTTTGACGAAGAGTGTTATTTTGACACATTTCACATAAATTGAGAAAATATTGAATTATACATATATGCTCCTATTTAATAAGTGATTAATAATTTAAATTCAATGAAAAGTAGCTTTAAGCTGAAGGTAAATCATGAAATTCTGTGTAAAATTCACATTGAAAATGTTGAATAACACTCTTTGTAAAACAAAAATCAAACTCTAAAATGACACTCTTGTGAAACAGAGAGAGTACTCCATATCAGATCTTTTTTATACTTTTCTGTTTTTTTTTTCACTACTTTCCAATACATTATGGGGGGGTTTTTTAGAACATAAAAAAGGATATTTGTGTATAATTTTTTTCACAAAGATTACTATTTTTAAGGAATACAATGAGTATATAACTATATTTTAATTATCTCTACGGAAAATATTTGGTTATATAGTTTTAATTTGATTCGTATAACATTAGAATTTAGAAAACACATCACTCGAAGAAACAGAAGAAGTATGGCAGAAAAAAGGAAGAACTATTTGATTTAATATATATATATATATGTGAGTACACATATCTACCCATATAAGTGTGAAGACAACGATTAGAAATTCCAAATATGGAAATTAATCGCTGCCATTAGTGGAAGTTCTCAAACACCCAAAAGCTAATGATTTTAAACCCTTTTTTTTTTTACTCAAGACGATTTTAAACCTTTATAAATACGAAAATAAATCTCACAAGTCATCAACAATCACCTTAATCTCTACTCTCTTACATACAAATAACCAAATCTCTCTTCTCCTCTACTCTCTCTTACACACAGAGGCAATAAACACATAAAGACAGTTTCTAATGGATTTAGAACAGAAGACAAGAGGACTGAGCAAGTCATGTGCCCTTCTCATAGGTAAATGATTTTCACCTTTTCTTTTTTTGTTTGTTTCAACATTCAGACTTCATTGAAACTAAAAACAGATGTTTCTTTTTCTTACATAATGTTTCTTTGTGTGTATAGTGATTGCGGGAATGGAGAGATATGCATTCAAAGGAGTTGCATCAAACTTAGTGACATATCTAACAGATGTAGTGAAGATGAGTAATTCAAGAGCAGCTAAAACAGTTAATACTTGGGCTGGTTTCACTTCTATGTTGCCTCTCTTCTCTGCTCCTTTGGCTGATACTTATTGGGACAGATTCTTCACTATCCTCGCTTCTTCTTCTGTCTACTTTGTGGTAAGTAGAATCAAGTGTTAAGTAAGTCCTGAAACTCTCCTCCACCGTCAGAAAATAACGGTCAGGCGGTGAGGGAATGTTGTTTTTATTTATCTTATTTTATAATTGGCTTGTTAAAAGAAATTTGATTATATTTTGATATATATAATGTTTTGGTCCTCTAGTAGATGTCTATGTATATATGCTTGTTTAAACAGTAGTTAAGTGATAAACTGATGATGGGTATGTGCAAGAAAAACTGGTATATCTAAGGAAGTTATAAGTTAGGTGTTGGGTCATTTTCCGAGTTAAGGAGTAGATCAAGTAGACTATCTTAAAGAGTCTTTAAGAAATTTGATATTTGGTAACCGTCCGATTAGAATTTTGTTTTACCTCTAATGGTGTTTATAGGGATCCTTCTATAGTTGTGTTGATAATGGAATTTTGATTATAATGTTGATATAGTGCTTATAATGGGTCTTATCGGATCTTATAGGCGAAAAAGCTAGCTTAGTGGAAATTCGAAAATTTTCCTTTGTTTTATATTTTTGTAGTTTTTATCTAATAATATATTATCTCTGTTTTTTCTTTTAAGGGACTAGTGGGATTGACATGGACGGCATTTGCTGGGTCACGTTCAGCTACTAAGACAATCTCTTCTTACTTTCTCTACTCTTCACTATGTCTTGTCTCTATCGGTTTAGGCGTCTTAAACCCTTCGCTTCAAGCCTTTGGTGCAGACCAGCTCGACCACGACCTCAATAAGAATTTCGAGCTTTCCTCGGGTGATCAAAAGGATGCTAAAGCTACCCGAAAGACTCAGTTTTTCCAATGGTGGTACTTTGGCGTATGCACCGGCAGCCTTATGGGTGTCACAGTCATGGCTTATATTCAAGACACTTTTGGTTGGGTACTCGGTTTTGCCATTCCTGGTATCGTAATATCCCTGTCGATTTTGTTGTTCATGTCGGGTTGCGGAATATATGTTTATGCTCCGGGTACCGGTCTGAAGATGAAAACAACTACTACACCTTTAGAGAAGATTCTTAAATTCATTAAAGGGGGAGTAGTGAAGCAGAGAAGCATATATACACTTGCAGATGAGAAAGATTTGGATGCTATGGAGCTTGAGTAAGTTCGGAAAAACCATGATATTTCATGAAACTAATTAGTCTTTTAAGTTTTACTAATGATGACGGTTCTTGTTTATGTAGGCTACAAGAGAGGCCTCTCTGTAAATGTGAGACCGAAGACATTGAGACTCCTTCAACAACCCCCAAAGGATTGGAAGGTGATGAGAGCTCGAAAACGGGTTTCTCTGGAACTGATAATGTTAAGTTAGTGATTCGCCTTTTGCCCATATGGATGATGCTTCTCATGTTTGCGGTTATCTTCCAGCTACCAGCAACCTTTTTCACCAAACAAGGTGTGACTATGAAGCGAAACATTGGGTCCAACTTCAAAATCCCACCTGCAACCCTGCAAAGCACGATCACATTATCCATCATCCTTCTTATGCCATTATACGATAAGATTTTGATACCTATTACCAAGAGAATCAAGAAAAACGGTACAGGAATCTCTGTGATGGAGAGAATGGGAGTCGGAATGTTTCTATCCATCATTGCCATTGTCATTGCGGCAATAGTCGAAAGGAAAAGACTAGCCATAAGCCAAAAGATGAAAACTTTACCTGATTATGATCCAGAAACCGTCCCAATGAGCATCTTCTGGCTGCTGCCTCAGTATATCCTCTTGGGAATCTCAGATATTTTCACAGTCGTTGGGATGCAAGAGTTTTTCTACAGTGAGGTTCCTGTCAGAATGAGAACAATGGGATTTGCTCTCTACACAAGTGTTTTCGGTGTTGGAAGCTTTGTGAGCGCCGCACTGATCTCAATCGTCGAGGCTTACTCGAGCTCAAGAGGTGACCGGCAAAACTGGTTTGCAGATGATATGTCTGAAGCTCGGCTTGACAAATACTACTGGCTGCTTGCTCTTACAAGTACAATAAGCTTTGTGGTCTACATAGTTCTATGCAAGTTTTTCAAGAGTAGCAGTGATCAAGGCGATGAAAAAGAAGGAGCCCCTAAATGAAAGAAGAACAACTTTGATTCCTTTGACACAGTCAACTTAGATAACCGTTTGCCACAAGATTCCACGAATGATCTAACTGTAGTAGTAGCTTTAGAACTAACTAGCAAACCATAAAGAGATAGACAACTGTTCTCCACAAGATTTTTATTCATAAGAAACAATATCTTATAATATCAAATGCAAAAGATTCAACATTATTATTATCTCGTGTGTTTGATTACATAAAATCATTAATCCTCCCATTGACGAACAACATTTCTAAAATGGACAGATACGAAACAAACAAACAACAAAGTCTGAAACTTTGATTTGTACCTTTAATCGTGTGAGCTGATTCCATTGAGACCAGCTTCTTTAGCTACGTTTCTCTGTTCTCGAATCTCGTCTTCTTCATCAGAATCGAGAGTGAAAGTACTTAAATTCTCCATCTCAGCTCCGAGAGGCCGATATTTAGAGTGATCGTCAGGGAGATAACCTTTCTTGTTAGCAACGACAGAGAACAATGCAGTAGCTAAAACTACCATTAGAGCCAAATGACAGTTAAACTGAAGAGTTGCAATAGCTTTTGCTCGGTGATAATCACCGTGTCCTTTGCACTTGATCGTGAAATTGCCTCTGCTCTTCTCGTGAAATGTACAGTTATTAGTGATCAAACCGGTGAAAAACGATATACCCATTTGCAGAAACCATGTTCCTTGAAGAATCAGACCGATCCCACGACCTAGTTTCGCGTATCGATGCGTGGTCGCATCCGATTTCAGCTCAAAAATCGTGGAGAAGACGCAGATGGCAATGGGTACGAGCATGAGATCGTAATAGCGATTCTCGATTCCAGAAACATCTTTCTTTTGCAGGTAGAACATTAAGAACTCCTCGACGAAGCCGAAGAGAAGCACCAAAGTCGTAATCGAAGACGGAAGAGTAACAAAGACAGATTTTTTGGAGTTGACCAGATATGTTAAAATGGCGTACACTAGGAATAGTACTGCCACTGCCAGGATCTGTAACTGGATCATCGACCCGACCCGATCGCGGGAATTGATTGAGCTGAAGAAGGTGAAAATCGAGTTCGCAATAAACAGATACGAAAGCAAAGCTACGGGGATGGAAGATGATCCAACAGATTTTGGCGGCGAAGCTCTAATCTGAGCCATAGGGGAAGATGGATTCGGATCAAGGTTCGATGAGTCCAGTGACTCCCACGCGCCGATTACTGCCAGTGACTCCCACGCGCCGATTACTGCAAATCCACCGCCGGCGACGGCGTAACTCAATATACCCATGACTTCAATTCTCAGAATCTCACAATCTTACAAGATCTCTGCGAATCAGGTTCCGCCATAACAGAATCGATCGACCTTAGTCCTGGTAAACCGGAAAGATCCGACCCGACCCGACCCGAGTACCAAATTGGGATAGGTTGATGACCCAATAATTTAATACAGGCCCATTGGGTCTTCAAATAGCCCATGTTTAAATATCGCTAAGGATAATAACTATCACGTGACAGTCATGTGCCTCTACGGATATGACGCATATTTTATTTGCACAGTGTGCTCCGCTTGCAAAATCCAGTTGCTTGGAGAGAGATGATGCTTCCTCTGTGTCACCAGCAGCAGCAGCAACCATTAACTCTTCCCAAAACCTTTCCCGATCGAATTTTCCCGCCATTCCCTGTTCCCAAAACCCTAATTTCGCGACGCAATGTCCGTCGAGCGAACTCCGTCGTCGTCTGTAGTTCTGCTTCTTCCGATCGGAAGACTCTTCCCCAATCGGCTATCCAGAGAATCGCTGAGAAGCTTCGTAGCCTTGGATTTGTGGAAGAGAAGCATGATTCACCGACTAGGAGAACCACGGGAGAAGAATCTGGTAAGAATAATTCCCCAGGAGAGATATTCGTTCCGTTGCCTAAGCAGCTTCCCATTCACCGGGTCGGGCACACGATTGACACGAGCTGGAGCACGCCTACTTACCCGGTTCCGAAGCCCGGGTCGGGTACTGCCATTTCAAGGTACCATGAGTTGAAGAGAGTGTGGAAGAAGGAAACGGAGATAGAGAGGAAGAAGGAGGAGAAGGTTCCGTCCTTGGCGGAATTGACATTGCCGCCGGCGGAGCTGAGGCGGTTGAGGTCGGCGGGGATTAGGTTGACGAAGAAGCTGAAGATTGGCAAGGCTGGGATTACGGAAGGGATCGTGAATGGGATTCACGAAAGATGGAGGACAACGGAGGTTGTGAAGATTTTCTGCGAAGATATTTCCAGAATGAACATGAAACGGACCCATGACGTCTTGGAGGTTTGCCTCTCTACTTTTGATTTCTTCTGGGTTACATAATAGGGATTTGATAGTTACACTAAAAATTTTCAGATTGATTTCGTGGAAATTTTATGCTCTAATGTGTAACATTTGACTTCTTACTCAAAATTCAATGACAGACAAAAACTGGAGGCTTAGTCATTTGGAGGTCGGGAAGCAAAATTTTGTTGTATAGAGGGGTAAATTATCAGTACCCTTATTTTGTATCTGATCGGGATTTGGCGCATGATTCCTCAGTGGAAACTACTTCAGGAGTATCATCTATGGATCAGGGAGTGGTTGATAGTAGAGAGAAACAGAGTATTGCAGAATCTTCTGCCCTGAGTATTACTAATAAAATGGTTAAACCGATGTTAATGCAAGGCGTTGGTTCTCCGGATAAGGTTCGGTTTCAATTACCTGGGGAAGTACAGCTAGTAGAAGAAGCAGACCGTTTGTTGGAGGGATTGGGTCCAAGATTTACTGACTGGTGGGCATATGATCCCCTTCCCGTAGATGGTGATCTTCTGCCAGCCGTAGTACCTGAGTACAGGAGACCATTTCGCCTTCTTCCATATGGCGTCAGTCCAAAACTAACTGATGATGAAATGACCACTATAAGGAGACTTGGTAGACCACTCCCTAGTCATTTTGCTTTAGGTAAGCTTATTTTCACCTGATTTTAGCTTTAATTTAGGCACAAAAGATTGTTAACTTATTCTGGCTTTTCTTTTCTGAGACTTCCAGGTAGAAATAGAAATTTGCAGGGACTAGCTGTTGCAATTGTCAAGCTTTGGGAGAAATGTGAGCTTGCCAAGATAGCAGTGAAGAGAGGAGTGCAGAACACTAATAGCGAGCTGATGGCCGAAGAGTTAAAGGTTGCTGATTTACTTCTAGAAGTATCAAACTATTTGTGGCTCTGTTTGCGAACAATAAGAAATTATACCCGTCGGAGTCCCATATAACAGAAGATATTTTATTGATGAGAGGAAAATATATGTCTGTTGCAGTGGTTGACTGGAGGGACTCTGATATCTCGGGATAAAGATTTCATTGTCCTGTACAGAGGAAAGGATTTCCTACCAGCTGCAGTTTCTTCTGCAATAGAAGAGAGGAGAAGGCAAACAATGATAATGGAGAAATCTAGTGTGCATGGTAATAAGCTGACTGAAAACGAAGAAGAAATAAAACCTCGGGCTGTTAAAGACGATATTGAACTAGAAGCTAAGGATCAGAAGGATCATATTCAAACCCATCAGATGAAACCAAGACAGCGGAAATCTCCTGAGGCAATCCTTGAAAAAACTAGTATGAAGTTGTCCATGGTATGCCCTAACAGACAATTTATACTTGCGTCCCTTGGGTTTGCAAGACCTTTTTTAGTTCTGAACGGTTAGTTTTGTCTTTAGGCGTTGGAAAAGAAAGCAAATGCAGAAAAAATTCTGGCGGATCTGGAGAATAGAGAGAGTCCTCAACTTTCTGATATTGACAAGGAGGGTATTACTAACGATGAAAAGTACATGCTCCGGAAAATTGGCTTGAAAATGAAGCCTTTCCTTTTACTAGGTAGGTCATTGTTTTACCTCTTTTTCCAATTGAAAGCAGTCCGTTCAAGTCTTTCATGTAATTATTCGTGGTAAATGAGTAACTGTCATGGACTCATCTCTTTGATGTGGTTTATGTAAATACCCCCGTTCTGACATATCTTGTTGTGTTCTCAAGGTAGAAGAGGCGTCTTTGATGGAACAATAGAGAACATGCATCTTCACTGGAAGTATAGGGAACTTGTGAAGATCATTTGTAATGAACACAGCATTGAAGCTGCTCACGAAGTAGCAGAAATCTTGGAAGCAGAAAGTGGTGGCATACTAGTTGCTGTGGAGATGGTGAGTAAGGGCTATGCAATTATTGTGTATCGTGGAAAGAATTATGAGCGGCCTCCATGTCTACGACCTCAAACACTTCTCAGTAAGAGAGAGGCGCTGAAGCGGTCTGTGGAGGCACAACGTCGAAAGGTAAAGAAAAAATCATAACAAATCCTTGACATGACAAAATTTTCCTGTAAATATTATCTTATCTGGAAACTTCAAATTAGTTTTATGACTTCCTCACTTGAATTTTTAATTATTTTTCTGCTCAAACTGATGCAGTCATTGAAGCTGCATGTGTTGAAACTTTCCAACAATATCGAGGAATTGAACCGTCAGTTGGTAAGTCATATGTTTGGCTCAGCTTGATTTGCTTAAACAGTCCTTGAAGATTGACGTAACATTGGAATGCTGCTGGTTGGGGCAGGTCGAGGACAGCGCAACCAATGAAACATGGTCAGATGGGGAATCAAGTAACAGGATGGTAAATTATTTACAGTTTCAGTAAACTCAAGCCAATTCTTGATGCTTCTATGATTTTCTCAATTCTCCATATTTTAATGTAGGCCGAAGAAGAAACAGAAAATCAGCATACTGAACCTGACAAATCAAGAGAAGGAATTGAACTCGGCTATTCATGTGACTTATCAGTTCCTTCCTCTGGTGAAGAAAACTGGGAGGTAAGATTGTTAGCTCCTACTTGAAGTTTCTTGCAAATTACACAGTTTTGAATTCTGACACTGCATTGGGGAATATATTCGAAGGATGACAGCGAAAGTGAAGTAGACCCATTTACTACGAGCAGTCATGAGTATCAAGAAGATGAATCTGGATTTGGCTCGTCTCAGAGACACGATGGTAACTCTCTCGATTCATCTGCAAATATATCTGTGCTTGCGGAAAGCAGTTCTGCCAATGCTTCTTCATTTCATGATAGATCCATGGTAATGTCTAAACCTCTTCTCTTTCCTTGTTGGCCCTGTGCGTAGCTGTATTTACTTAATTACCCTTTTTGTGAAATTTTTAGCCGCGAAAAAGCTTTCTGAATGCTGAGCGAAAGTTACCAGCTGGAAAAGAACTGGGATCATCAACTGGAAGTGGCTCAGGAGTCTCAGCTCTGAGCGAGAGGAAAAGCAAAAATGATGGGTTGGTCACAGATCTGTCCAATAGAGAAAGGCTCATTCTGAGAAAACAAGCCCTTAAGATGAAGAAGCGCCCACCCTTTGCAGTAGGTGAGTTTTACTATCTTCTATACTCTTTCCTGCTAAGAGACCACCTGATCCATATCCCAAACCCAATACTTTTAGATTGTTTTTTTGCCCGATAAAGCTCATTACATAACCACAATGCCTTTTGTGTTTCACGTATAGGTAGGCTCAGTTGGAACCGTATAGTTCCTATTATCGAGAATGACTAACAAGTTTCCAATCTTTTATTTTGTAGGAAGAAGCAACGTTGTTACGGGTTTAGCAAGAACACTGAAGATGCATTTTCAGAAAAACCCTCTAGCAATCGTAAACGTCAAAGGAAGAGCCAATGGAACATCTGTGCAAGAAGTCATCGCAAAGCTAAAGGTCAATTGATGTCCACATTACAACTTAAAACCAAACCATTAATTAGTTCTTTCTTGATGATCCTTTTGGGATTCGTTTATAAAAGGTGGTTTTGAATTTGATTATGCAGGAAGAAACAGGAGCTCTTCTGGTGTCGCAGGAGCCAAGTAAAGTCATACTTTACCGCGGATGGGGCGCAGAAGAAGAAATGAAAAGCTTCTACCCAAATAACAATGTCAAAAGCTCTATAAATCTAACCTCTACAAAAAGCTTTGTTGAGGATCCTCCTCATGTGTCTCCTGCACTCATTGAAGCCATAAGACTTGAATGTGGATTGTAATAATGTTTAAAATTATTAGATGTAAATAATTTAATGATTTAACATTTGCTAGAAAGTGAAATGTTTCAAACTCCAATGGAACGAGAATGGCTCTGTCTATGCACACTCTAAGTTAACACATCTGTCACTTAGATCTTGTGGTTTCCGGATTGGCTCAAGAATCAAACAGCTCTTCTTTTCCTAGATGATCTGAGCATGAACAAACTTGAAGGAAGTTTTCCCAAATGGTTGGCTGATCCATAATTTTGTCAGACAACAAACTCTCAGGTTCATTGCCTCCTAGTTTGTTTCAGTCTATAAGCTTATCGGTTCTTGCGCTACCAAGAAACAACTTCTCTGGTCAGATTCCTGATACGGTAGGCAAAACATGGGTCATGATATTGATGCTGTCTGAAAACAACTTCTCAGGATCAAGGTATTGGATCTCTGTGAGAACAATCTTGATGGATTTCTCCCTTCATCTCTTGGGAATCTCACAAGCTCTGAAAGAATCTCTCCCGAGCTCGTCTTCGCTTTTGCCTTTCATGTACAGCTTCACTATCGAAATACACAACTTAGCAGAGTGAACTGGAAGAATTCAAAACATGGTCTTGCCTATAGAAACCTCTACCTCTACATTCTGATAGACCTCTCCAAGAACAAGCCCCATTTTTTAACCTCTCATACAACGACATCTCTGGATTGATCCCACAAAGTTTTGCAAATCTTGAGAAGAACTTTCACACAATAACCTCTCAGGCGACTATCCAAGCTCAGCGAGCTGAATATATTGGAGTTGAGCAACAACAAACTTACAGGTAGAATCCCTGAGAGTCCTCAGCTAGACAGACTGAACGATCCAAACATTTTACGCGAACAACAACAAACTATGTGGAATGCAAATCCAACAACCATGCTCTACACAGACCAAGCAGCTAGAGGAAGGAAACAATCTTTTCATGAAAAGCTGCAGTTATAGGTTGTCCTTGTGGATTTCTAATGGCAGTTGTCTAAATGTATATGGTTGGCTATTTCAAGAACAGAGGACTGAAGAAATCAAAATCTCTGTTTTCTTAAAACGAAATGGAAAAAATTATAAAAACAAAGCAGTTTGTGAGCAATCCTTTTTAAAACCACAGTGGTCAATGAAGTGGTGATGTTATCAAGAGAGTTAAACAAAGTATTGTCAAATCACTTTTCAAAAAGTTGTCCTCTATTTGTTTAACTAACTCTATGAAAACAGAATCGTTTAATGAAACATTGCCAGCATACAGATTCACAAAATTATGTGTTCTTTTGGTGACATGAATGGATTTCAAATATAACCCAAAACCTCCAATAGAATCAATTGTATCTTTAGAAAACAACAACTTCCATCAGATTGAGAGAAGAAGACGAAAAACTAAATGGAGAGGAGCTAGCAACATGTATACTATTTCACTTTTTTTAGAGTTTTTCAGCCAATCAGAAGGCTCTATTTCGCAACCACTCGCACAAAGTGCGCGTTGCGTGAGTGAGAGCAATTCCTGAAGGGGTTTACCTTTAGAAATCATGCCTATTTTAATCGACGCACTTCTCTCCAAAATTTCCATCGCGTGACTCTTTTATTTTTTTGTTCTCTAAACCAGTGTAAACCGAACCCAAAATCAATTCTTATTTCAATACCATGTAAACCGAACCGAACGGAAAATGAATTTTAAAAAATTGTTAATTAGACATTTAAGAAAATACTTGCTCTAGATTAAACTTTCAAATTACAAAATCTGAGTCAGAATCAGGCCAAGAAGATTCCCGAAGATTTCTACTTTCATGGTTCCAAATTAGAAAAAATCCACATCCAATAGAGGAAGAAGAACAATTCACTGCTTCAATTAAACATGACAAACGATTGAACGAGCTTAGCTTTACTAGTTTTTGTCGGCAACAAAGTCAGAACAGATATGGACAAACCAAAAATTTCATACCAGAACAGTAGATTCGATAAGAACAAGGACGATTTGCAATAATTTAAGGTTTATACAGATTAGACTCACCAGTCGAAATCTGAAAGCATGAATCTAGCTAGTTTTGTGCTCTTCGTGTTTTTGGCTTTAGTCTCCTTTCTTTTTCTTCTTTGAGTTTTTCAACATCACTTTGCTGCTTCGAGATATACGAATTAAAAGTGATGGGGTAAATCAAGAATATTTAGATTTTTAAGGGGCTGGATTTGTAAAATATTAAAAAGTAAAGATCAATCAGATATTAAGTACATTACTACTTGTAATGAACATAGCAATGAAGCTGCTCAAGAAGTAGCAGAAATCTTGGAAACAGAAAGTGGGTTGCTGTGGAGATGGTGAGTAAGGGCTATGCAATTATTGTGTATCGTGGAAAGAATTATGAGCGGCCTCCATGTCTACGACCTCAAACACGTCGAAAGGTAAGAAAAAAATCATAACAAAACCTTGACATGACGAAATTTTCCTGTAGAAAACTGAAACTGATCGAATAGCTCTAACTAAGAACTCATTTGCTACATGACTGTCACACAGAGAGAAAAAAGCGAGTTTTGAAATTGTGGCGTTTCAGAGCGTTTTGAGGGAAGGAGAGGTAGAGAGTGGCTTGACTCGGATGCTTCTGGTGTAGAGGTTTGTGAGAGCAAAGAGTAAAAGCACAAAGACCACTTGAGCACTCACTATCCCAAAATGGCTTATACTATTCCCAATTTCCATCCAGCTTCCTGTGTTTTTCACCTGCAACATATTTTTGGTTGCATCAGTGAAGAAGAAAGAGCCTTTAACACCAATATCTATATGCTTCATTTTGACATAATCACAGTAAGCAAATGAATGTTTGTTTACTTACCAGGAAGAAGAAATGGATCGTCATTATGTCTGAAAATAAGATCACAAGGAAGTAACATCCCAGTCTTGGCATTCTCACTAATTTCGTTATTGCACTGAACGCACATCTGCAATTCACAGCAATTTGGACAACCATAGGTTTAAAGACTAGTTTTATACTAATCATTACTAATGGCTTGGGTTTAGTGTTTACACTCACATGACAAGCATGAACGGTATGAAGAGCTTGAATATAAGAAGAGCTGCCATCAAAAACGGCTGTACGGATGCACCGGTTTAACCATAAGACTTTATGGAAACACAGATTATAAGAGAAGAATAAAACAAACGATAATGCAGATACTTACGCTGAAGATTGTGATAAACCGGTATACAGATGATATCTCAAAACTTGCTATACTTGCAAAATTCCCAGTTCCGAAGAAAGCCACATTGAACAAAACCATCTACAGAACACATGCCAAATACGAAAATCATATGTACTGCTATTTTATCAGATGTAACAGACTTCATAATCTCGCTCGCATCATAATAGGACCAATGAAACAAAGAAGACGACTTACAAATATCAAAGGAATCCGCACATCAGATAGCTGCAAGTATCTCTCATCGCTTCCGATAGTGATATGTTCCTCTGTGTTTTTTTCTGACAGAGACGAATCTTTTACTTTGTTAGAATGATGAGAAGCATTCTCAAACAATATCCACGCCATAAGCACAACGGCAAGTGCACTGTAAAATACAGCTTCATATCTGCAAACAAATGGTAGAAGCATGAGAACAAACAATATCCACGCCATAAGCACAACGGCAAGTGCACTGTAAAATACAGCTTCATATAACTAAGTCTTGTAAAGAGACATACCCAATAGACAGGAGAAGGAATGGAGGCGCAAAACCAAGAAATATGGAACTTAATCGAGAAAGGATGCCATTTGCTGAAAACAACGGAAGAACCATTGAAGAACCTGCAAAGATAGAAGACGGTTTAACCGGTGACTCAAACACAAAGAAACACTATTACGCAAACAGAACAGAGGTCTGAGGATATACCGGCAACTAACCAGTTTATGAACTGATGTGATGAATGTAGTTCTTGATTCTGTGTTCGGTGCTTTGTCGACAGAAACACCATCACCGATGACACTCCAACCAAAAATATCTGTTTCCCATTTGCACCAAGAAAAATTGAACTATTAGACGAAGAACCAAAATTTGAAGTTATAAAAGTTAAAAAATGGTTTACCTGTATGCAATATAACATTGAGCACATCGGCGTCCTGCTTTCATGAAAAGTGATACTCTGCCAAAATTTGTTCCCTTCTGCATGTGTGTCTAGCCACTTTGCAGCAAGGCTTATTACTATAATAATAGCTCCACTTATAACTCTGTAACCAAGAGATGGTACCAACATGAAACACTGAGCATTTCACAAGTAAAGAAAATGACGCTAGAGAGCAAAGATGCTTAATGCTGTGTTCAACATAATTTCTACTCTTATGATTCTATTGAACAATCCTATACAAAGGGAGTGAAGACTTCTTCTAAATGAGTTGCAGCTCAAAAGTTACTAGCTCTGCTAAGTGATAAATGTGGTTTACCAAGGCATCAGTGTCATGTAAACCACAAAACGTAGGAAAAACAATCAGAGGAAAGTTCAAGCAAGGGTAAGCAAAATAACTTACACTAAGTTGTTATTATCAGGAATTTCAGCTGGCATCAGAGTGAAGACAGACAGGAACCAACAAGATAAACAGACAAAAACTGGTATCCCAGATCGGCAAGGGATTGAAAAGTGCAACAAAATTGAAGCCACAACACCTGCTATCAAGAAAAACCAAGTGTAAAGCTTTCTCTCAGTGAAGCTATGAACCTGCAAGAGGTTCAAAGAACAAACGATCAGGGAAAAAGCCTTCGCTTCAGAGAAAAACTATTGGACCATCCAACTACTCATACCAATAATTCCACAATGACAACTGCCACAGCTGCAGCAAATAGAAGTTTGATGAAGTAGTCAGCCCTCCTCTCTCTCAAATATCTCCATAATCCTCTTATTAATCGATATTCACTAAAGATTTGTGTCCATAGAAAAACTGTCATTCCAATATATGCATGGTAAAGAGGGGGGGAATGCTCCACCAAATTTAGCACCGAGAGAATTACCATCAGCAGGCAGCCTGATATATATACCTGCGTCAAAATGATCAAAATAAATGAGACAGACAGAGATTTCACATGAAAGTGTAGATGTTTAACTATAACAAAGAAATCCTGCTTAACCAAGAATAGCTAAAAAAGAAGAGTAATCTGATCAAAGTGAAGATGGAAGCGTTTACTTTTCCGGAGTCTTTTTTCTGCACTGATAAATGCTCCTTTTTGGACAAATCTCCTGATAGTGAACTATAACATTGCAGGACATGCAGGGCAAGTACGATCATCCATCCAGTGTATCCAAGTGTAATTACAGTCATAAGCATTAGCCAGTCATACGTTTGAAAATAATGAAGGCCCTCTAGTGACAAGTTTCTGAGGTCCACAGCCAATTTCATTGCAGCTTCATAACTTTTGGCGGATATTAACTCATCAATCTGACTCAGCGATGAGGAATGGTGAACCAACGGCTTAAATGGCTTGAAAAATAAGGAGTTTGAGCGTTTTATATCTAATTTTGTCAAGGAGACCACAGCCAGGATAAAAACTAAAAAGAGCAGAATATAAGCAATGCTAAGAAACAACTCTAAACAACAGACTATGAATCGGAACAAAGATCTTTTTCGATCACTGTAAGAGTAAGACTACTGTACTATAGCATGAACAATGTCAAGGGCTTGAAAGCAGGGAACGATATCAGAATGAGAAGTGATGCTACAATACAAATTATAATCTTCAATGCAGAAGTTAAGCTAACATTAGAGTGTGAGCAAAGGATACATGATTTACGAAGGAGCTGATTAAGAATTTGTTTGGTATTGGCTAGCACAGCTTCAACTTCTTCTGCCTAAAAATACATAAAAAACAATAAAGCATCATAAGTCTTGACCTCCCAGCCATATTTCTATTCATATTTTAAAAGCAGTTCCCAATTGAGTTTCGACCTCTCACCCATGAAAACTCAATAGGGAACTGGTAAATACCTAATCATGTATAACATACCTCATTCAACTTCATATAACCAAGTGGTAGGTTTCCAACGGAGTTCACTGGGCATGGCAAACCCAATAGCGTTGACTACAAATATTAACAAAAAGTGAGACCAAAGAACTTGGGAAACAGATTCACAATTTTAAGTTGTCTGACTGAGAGGATAAGATATGAGGTAAAGTCCAACCATAAGTGGTGCTATGTCAGCTTGGTTGACATCTACTCTCTCAACACGACGAAGGCCCCAGTCATAAGGTGTGGGCATATCATGTGCATGCTTGTCAACAAATGTAGTAACAGAATCAGAGTGACTATTTCCGGATGCTGATTTGGGGTATTTAATCCCAGCTCCCCAAGCAACTAATGGAGTATCAGTGTTTGTAGGATGCCCATCTCCATGACTTCCTATAAGTAACAACAGGTTCATATAGTATCATTACCATCATAAGCTCAAGACGAAGCAAAGAAAATTAGATTGAAGGTGCAGATGAAACCTAACCAGATAGCTAAGAGAAGATTAATGATCATTCCAAATATGACACGAAGTTTGAGTTGCAAAGCAAGGCAGGAATAAATGGCCACTTGAGAAAACAACTGTAGCTGAATTGAAATATAAACCCCAAAACATGTCATCTTAGTATCATAAACTATCCTATCTCAAAACAATCCAAACAAATGATAGAGCAAATATCTTACTCCATCGCAGTATATTCTACTCAAATTGGCTCCCAAATCGTAAGTAGCCTAACCACCCAATGTGCCCTAAAGTGTTAATTAACGAGAAGGTTTGAAACAAAAGGAATGACACAAAGCAAAAGCAGACCTTTGTCGCTCATCCCATGATCAGCAGTAAAGATATAAGAAGTGCGATTGTCTCTGTAGTAATCCTCCAAGAGATGGTAGACCCTTTCAGCAATCTTATCAACAACTTTGACATTGTTGAGATAGATTGATGAGTACGGCCGATGTGCATGACCATTGGAATCACAACCAAGAAGGTGAAGAAAGACAACGAGTTTGTCCTGGTGGAGGAGCTCTTTCAACTTTGGATCTTCGTGAGACCTATTGAGAAGGCTCTCAAATTGATCGAAAGACCACTCATCCAAAAAGGAGGCATCTACACCAAGATACATCCTCTCAGTTCTCTAGTAACAAAAATGTTGCATTTCACAAGCAATAAGCAAATTGACCGCAGAGTCAAATTTAATTCCAGATACTGATACATAGTTTTTCAAACAACTAAACTAACCTGTAGCAAAGTCTTCATACTCGTGTGGGTAAGAATTCCAAGTGCTGTGAGGTAAGGCACTGCAGAATATAGGAATAATATCGGGGCTCCCAAAAGCAAACGTATGCCGGCTCTGGTTAAAAACAGAATCAAACTCAACAGGATTAGCTTTCCATCCTGCAAAACACAAGTGCAACACAATTTGATTTCAAAAGCCGCTACTAACTTGACAAGACTAGGTAAGTAAATACAATCATATATACAGAAGAAGAAGAGAACCTTTAGTGACAGCACTAGGATCTTCATAGAAACCAGCAATGATAGCAACATGTCCAGGTCTAGATTCTGTAGGAGGACGAGCATGAGACACACCCCAACGCCCCTGATTCTTTATGACATTCCTCAAGAAGGGTGCTCTGTATTTGCCTTCCTCGTCCGGCTCAAAGAATTTGTCAGCACGTAAACCATCCGCTGATAATAATGTCCATCAGTAAATCAGAAATGTCTCGAGCAGAACCAGAATCATATACTCTAAAATCTACTATAAGCTATAACTGAAAGAATCCTGAGCTTGAAGTAAGAAAGACATTTCAGTGTGAGGACTACGTACAGATGAGAAGAACAAGTCGCTTCGCTGGCGGCTCAGAGAATCTGGGAGGCACAGGATCCATCCCGTGGACTATCGGCGTTTTGAAGTAAATGTCGAAGATGCTTAACATGTACACGGCGTGAAGAGCAACTCCGAGAACCACCAGCCACGTTTCTCGCCTCTTTAGCCATCTTCGTCTACTCGCGACCACGACGGATGTTGATCGATTCTGATCCGAACCTCCAACTCCCAAGATCCCGTCGCTCCTCATAGATCTTCCCAATTCTCCGACCAAAAACTTTTCTCCTTATTAGATTTTCTTAAATCTTCACTGTTCACTATCTTGTGTCCGTAAAACACTGTTAACTAAAGCCCAAGCCTTATTTTGATAACAAAGCTCTGATATAATAAGCCCAAGCCTTATTTATTGTAACAATAATAATAAAAATAAATAATCCATCGAGTTCCTCTGCTCTCGAATTATTATTACAACGTTGTTCCAAAGATATGAATACAAAGAGTAGAGAGATAAATTACAAAGAAGCAGAGAGAATAAATAGGAACAATAAAATAAGATGGAATCTCTGAAATCCAGAAACACCACACGAGAGAAAGAGAGCAGATCACTCAAAAATGACTCCCACTTTTTTCATCATCTTACACAAACAACCTTCTTTTTTTTTACTTTCTTAGAAAAATATATCAGTTCTTCACTGTGGTCACATGCTTCAGAAGCATTTCCACAACATCTTTGGAAATCCTCGTTGCTTCGTTCTTCAACTGCTCGATTTTGGCATCAGTCTCTTGCTCCAACCTCTTCACATTTGCACCAGAGTCGCCACTTGTCTGTTTTCACATTATGATGATTAGAAGACAGAAAAAGCAAACTACACTACTTTTTTTTAATTTCCAAAGAACATTTTTTTCTTTTCCAATTATTTACCTCCTCAAGTTTCCTCTGGAAGTCTTGCTCTGTTTTAGCTTTGTATTCGGCAATCTCTTTCTCTGCCTCTTCCTTGGCTTGCTTCAGTCTTGCCATTTTTGCTGCAGCCAATAGAAAGATAATAAAGCAAATTCAAAACATATAAAATCAAGCTCTATACAATATGCTCCAAGTGCTACACATAACTACATTTTCATTTCTATAAATATGCAGGCTCCCAAGAATGTACTTGGATGTAATATCAGTGTTGGGCAAACTTTCAATTCTAAAGTATAATAAGTGAACAACAAACAACACCTTTCAATGTTGTAGAGTTTCAGATATGTAAACTAAATTGGCAAAGGAAGATAAGCTAATGATTACCGGTCCTGGCAGCATTGACAATGTGTTGAGCTTCAACCTCAGCAGCAAGCAACTGTTGGATCGAACCTTGACCTCTGCTGGACTCCATGCTTTATTACACAAAATTCTACAAAAACAAAATCTGTTAAAATCTAAGGGGTCAAATAATAACAACAAAAATTTGAACTCGCATAAAGTCCAAACATATCTATAAATTTGCTCATAAACCTACACTACACATAATCTCACAAATCAATAACTAGGTCAATCAGATGAATTATTGAGACTGACCAACTACTAAATTAAGGACAGAGTCAACAGGATTGGAGAAACATAATTAATTTACCCATAAACTCGAAGCAGATCTGTTACTCTAGCAATTCATAAGTCGGAATCAAAACTAGACAGATCTAAGATTCCGAAATAGGATTAATGAGAATTGAAGACCACCAAGTTAGTGAAATCGATGTAGTATAAATTAGATGATCTTCATACAAAAAAAATCCAACTCTTAACACCATCCTAACAACGATCCTACCGCGTTGAATCACCGGGATTAACGGAAGTAAGTCAAAACACGGCGAAACAGTTTGACTTCCGATTGAAAATTCGCATTACCTTTGCTGATTCCAGATTCCAAGGACGAGAGATGAGAGGAGAGAAGAGAGAAGATCGAGGATCTATTAACACGTCTGTCTATCCAATCTGCTCTCGGTACTTGTATTGTATGATTAACTTCAGCAGTGGGCCCACTTTGAATAGAAATTGAAGCCCACTTTTATAATGGGTCTTATCTACAAAGCCCAAAATAACCGGAGAGAACAACAACGCCTCGTAATAATTAATGGGAACATAAAATATTTAGACATGAAAACCATTAATTAATTTTATAATAAGGTATTATTCTTGCTCTCTCTCTCTCTCTCTCTCTCTCTCTCTAGCTCATTCTTGCTTTGGCTACCTCCAAACAAATATTCCTGACAGACCAGACCACTCGTAAGACAGACCAAACCCTAACTAAAAGCATCCACGTTTTTTTTTTTTTTGATGGTCTGATCTCATCATATCCATGGAGATGGAGAATCACCGCCCCAGTTTCACCTACATGGGCCGCAAATTCAGCGATTTAAGTCTCAACGATGACTCCTCTGCTTTCAGCGATTGTAACAGCGACAGATCCGGCGAATTCCCCACTGCTTCCTCCGAGAGCCGTCGTCTCCTCCTCTCTTGCGCCTCTGAGAATTCCGAAGATCTCATCAATCATCTCGTTGCGCATCTTGATTCCTCCTATTCGATCGATGAGCAGAAGCAAGCTGCTATGGAGATCAGGCTCTTATCCAAGAACAAACCTGAGAATCGGATCAAAATCGCCAAGGCCGGTGCGATTAAGCCGTTGATTTCTCTGATCTCTTCTTCGGATCTTCAGCTTCAGGAGTATGGAGTCACTGCAATCTTGAACCTCTCTCTTTGCGACGAGAACAAAGAGCTGATTGCTTCTTCCGGTGCGATTAGGCCGCTTGTCAGGGCGTTGAAGATGGGAACACCGACTGCTAAAGAGAACGCCGCATGTGCTCTGCTCCGGCTATCGCAGATCGAGGAGAACAAAGTCGCCATCGGAAGATCCGGAGCGATTCCTCTCTTGGTGAATCTTCTGGAAACAGGAGGATTCAGAGCGAAGAAGGACGCGTCGACGGCTCTGTACTCGTTGTGCTCAGCTAAAGAGAACAAGATCAGAGCCGTGCAATCTGGAATTATGAAACCGCTTGTGGAACTGATGGCAGATTTCGGATCAAACATGGTGGATAAATCGGCGTTTGTGATGAGTCTGTTAATGTCGGTGCCGGAATCGAAACCGGCGATTGTGGAGGAAGGAGGAGTTCCGGTGCTGGTGGAGATAGTTGAGGTGGGAACACAGAGACAGAAAGAGATGGCTGTGTCGATATTGCTACAGCTTTGTGAAGAGAGTGTTGTGTATCGAACAATGGTGGCTAGAGAAGGAGCGATACCGCCGCTAGTGGCTCTGTCGCAGGCAGGAACAAGTCGAGCTAAGCAAAAGGCTGAGGCTTTGATTGAGCTTCTAAGGCAACCAAGATCCATTAGTAATGGTGGTGCGAGATCATCGTCCCAACTCTGATTTGAGCTTTTCTTTTTATCTTTTTTTTTTACCACACTCTTTTCTTTCTTTTTACTGTTAATGCGAGGGTGTATACAAACAACCAGAAAAAGGGGGGAAAAAACTGTAAATTTGTGTAGAAAATTAGTGGGGTTGTTGTAATTTATCTTGAGTTTGGCTTTTTTTTTTTTTGTGATCCAATTTCATAAATTTCGGTTTGGTTGTTTAACAGTTTTTAAATCTTTACCAATTTACCCTCCCATGTGTATAATGATCTACTAGATACATGACCCGCGCCTTGCGCGGGAGGAGGTTGATGGTAAGAATTTTCTGTATGAATAAGAAAATTGTTCAATCTTTAAAAAGATTGAATATTTTGTGTCTTTCAATAAATTTCTTTATATACATATAAAACAGTGTTTTTACATCCGATCTGAATTGTTCGGTATGTTCGGTTAACCTGCAACTCGTTCATTTCTCCTGTTTAGGTTTAATGTTAGTGTCCGTTAATTTCTTTCTTTCTTTTTTTCCTGCCCATATGTCTGCTAAATTTCAAAACCGAAGAAAACCACAAAACATATGCCATTAACTCGCAACTTGATGAACCTGTTGAACTAACCGGGTATCGGATCAAAAATTAAATTATTTGATTTTGAAATAAAATATAGGATTTTAGATTATTTTTTTTGTATTCACTATTTAGTTATTTTTAGAACTTTTCAGTTTTCATATTCCTTAGCATATTTTATGGTTTTAGTTGGATCAAAAATATTTAATCATTTTATTATTAATGTAAAACATGATATGATTATTTTATAAAACTATATAATCTCTATATATTTTAAATAAAATAAAAAATTAATTGACCCGTGTTTGAACCCGGTTAACCTAGTGACTCAGAAAGAAATCTGATTTACCGTTTGGATCGGATTTAAAAACGTTGATACAAATGTATAAGATAATTGCATGATTATAGATTTTACACTACTACATATTATTGAACGTATTATAGCATGATTATAAGTTAAGTAAAATAAATAGTAAAACGTTAAATGAATAAAAGAAACTAACTTTAGCATCAATCAAGATTAATTTTGGATGCTTTCACCAACACTAGCAAAGTATTGTCTCCAAAGCCTTATGTTCTTGACCTTTAATTTCCACATGTCTTAAAAGGTTTCAAGTGAGCAACACTAATGAGATGTTTTTTTGGTGAAGTGTTTAATTGAAGGTGATATAGGGAGTGTATTTATAGGAAGGAATTGAGACGTAGGTTTAGAGAGTTTTGTATTTTGAAAATTTAGAATTCCTCCAAAAAGAAATTCAGATTTATAATTGTTAAACTAAATAAATGCTGTTTATATTTTTTATTTGGAAACAATTTTATTTATAAATCTATTGGTAATAACTTATTAAGACTATTGAAAAGGGATTATCCGTGTGGATATTCCTTTATTCATTTAAGTTTAAGAAATCTAAAAATTTAGCAAAGATGTCGAGATTTGGTGGTTTCAAGTCGATATTTTGTAGTTTCAAACCTTTAATATCGACTTTAAAGGTTTGCAATTTAAATTAGAAATTTAGCATCATTATTTGCAATTTAAATTAGAAATTCGTTTTGATTAATGGAGTATATGTATGTAAAATATTAATGGCAAATTCTGTAAATAGTCTAGTAAAATTTGAATAATTATTTAAATAGGCGACAAATTATTCTGAGAGCGACACGTCAGCATGGCAATCTTGTTAATAACACGTTAATGTAAGGTTTATTTTTAGAGTGTTTCTCTATTAATATATAGGGGACTAGATTTTAACCCGCGGTACACCGCGGGATGATTTAATTTTAAAGTTAGTATAAAAATATTTTGTAAATTGTATCTCCTTATAACATATTTATTTATATTATAGTTTACAATTGTTATTAAATAACGGTATACCACGAGTCCACGAGATAATTATTAATAAACTGAGGATTTAACCCGTATTAAAGCGGTATATAAATATTGATTCAAATTCGTCCGCCATATAAATCATTTCCGAAATATAACCCGTTCCGTAATTTCTTAACCCGTCCTGTGATTTGTATTAAAAAAATAAGGATTAAATCCGTATTGAAGCGGCGGATTAATGATATTTTAATCTTTTTATTATTGTTGATTCAAAAACCTGTCCCGCCAAACTCATCCCGCCAAAAAACTCATTTATTTTATTAATGTTCTTATTTATGATATGATTCTGAATCATTGTCTAAATATTTTAATCGATGTAGAATGTTGAACACACATTTTCGTCAATTGGATAATATATGTCCGTTTTTAAAATTTCGAATCACAGTATATGCAGAAAAAAATTGATTTTTTTTTTTACTTTATGTATTATATGATGATTCAAAACAGTTAAAAACAAATCAAACAAAGATGATAGGAGAATCATAATTATAAATCTTAATCAAATCTTCTAAAAATCTAAATTATTAAATATGGAATATCCGGTGTATGAGTTGGGTTAAATATAACCCGACCCAGCAAATTTTTTGTGAAGGAATTTTTAAAATGGATCGGATATCCGATATACCCGAAAGCTTTTTTACCCACCCGTCACAAAAAGTGCTGCGATTATACTAGTATAGATAAGTAGGGCTTTGAATAACATAAGGGAGACATTCTTATTTGGAAATTATTGAACTAGAATGTAAGAAAAAAGGAGAGAAACATAGACATGTTGTTGCGAATTTTTAACTTAAGCGAACAAGTGACTGAAGTTTAAACATACTGGGGACAGAGCAAAAGAGTAGTCAGAACATGCAAGGAAAAAAGAGAAACAGTAATAAACGTTTTCTTAGAGAAATTTAAACTTAGAGAACAAGTGACTGAAGTTTCAACATGTTGGGGACAGAATAAAAGAGAGAAGAGAACATGTTCGTTCATCTTCATGTTCATGTTTATGCCTACACAGCATGTTAAAGACACGATTCTAGGAACAAGAAAACAGGAATATATATATATATATATTAACTAATTCTATCTTCTAGCTGCCTGGGATCACCACCGTTTGACCCTCTGGATACGCATTGACAAAAGAATAAAGATTAAGAACCTGGTAAGCTTGATGCGTATGGATTTCTTCCAATATCCACTTTTAAAACAAACAAAAATTAGATAGAGTTCAATTAGATCTTAAACTAACTCACCTGCCAGACCAATCGCACAGTTAGCTTGTTTATCAGCTTCAGAATTCAATTCCTGCACACCGGACAGCTTACAATTACTCGCAATGAACTCAAAGATATTCAGTTCTAATTCGCACTAAAACTCTCAAAACCAAACATGATTGGATATCTAATGGTTGTTACGCAGACAAACAACAGAGTTGATCACAACTCAGCACTAGACCAAGCGGGTTTGATGGCTTACCCTGTCAACGTGTTCGATATGGAATGTTTTAAACTTGCTCTTGAGCTCCTTAGCCTGTTTGCACAGCTCAGCCATTTTCGGGTGTTTGGTTTTCCATGCATCTTGAACCTATTCCATTGACGTATCCAAGTAATCAAAACAATTAAGGCACTAACATTGAATCATTCAAACAAAACAAAAAGATAGAGTGAATTTTTATATCTGGACCTGCATAACCACAAGCATTGAGTCTCCTTGGACGCGCACATCTTTAAACCCTTTGTCAAGAGCAGACCTCAAACCAAGAATCAGAGCTCGATACTCTGCAACGTTGTTAGTGGCAATGCCAACGCCTTCCCGTAAATAGAAGAGGACACTTGCGTCTGAAGCACGGAGAACAGCTCCTGCACCAGCCTTCCCTGGGTTTCCTTTAGAAGCACCATCAAACTCAATGGTACATGAATCCTGAGGGCGAATGATAGATAAAGGAATTATGAAGATGCAGAAGAAAAAAAACAAGCATATGACTGAATAATTTTGTTGGATGTTATTACATTTTGAAGTATAGGTGCCCGAGTTAGGAAACTGGAAGGAATCCGACGAACCATGTCATTTTCGATCTTAAGATGCTTCTGCGGAGGACTAGGGGAAAACGAACCCGATTCACTACTTCCCTGAAAGATGAGAGGCACAAGAATTTTCATCATTATCTTCAAGAGATTGCAAAAGATAAAGTTACTAATACATATTACCCGCAGCAAAGGCAATGAATTATGTGTCTATAACAGACAAGATTTACAGTTTTTACCATATCTTGCAATCTCTTAGACGGGGAAGATTTGTTGAGAGATTCTCCTTGGGAAGAAGATGGTTGCTGAAAAGCAAAATCAAAAGTCGGAACATAATTTAGAACAGTAATAATATCTCCACTGGAATAACCTCGGAGTACACAAGCAACTGAGTATATGTTCCTGTAAAATATGATATCAAAGATCACTCTCTCTTATAAGAGAATGTTACTTAGATAAAGATTCGGTGCCAAACCTGAACAGGACAAGGAATGAGTTTCCCAAAAGCATCATCTTTGACATGACTTGCATTGATAGAAAAGAGAGCGTTCTTAATTCCAAAGGAAGATAACAAGTCCTCTGCTCCTTTTGGCCAACCATATCCTTTGTACACACTCATTGCAGGATGTGATACCTGAAACCAAAACAAACAAATCTAAGTAAGTCCTAACAATGCAGATGTCAACAGTGAATACAGATTCAACAGATAGAAGAAACGGAGAAATTACAGAAGAACCAGCTTGTTCTTGGCATTCGCTCAAGCTTCGATAGACACCAATGATGTCTCCCTTACGGACGATGTAAAACGCATCTTTTTCATCCTCCATTGTGGAACCCATAAACCAATCAACACTCTAATATCTCACAAACCCTAAAATCCCAAATCTTCCCGAGTTAGCGAAATCACAGAAGAACCCTAAAACCTAGTAAAACGAACAAAGACCAAACTAAAACAAGTCCCCGGAAAGCAATTCAACAGAGACCCAGAATCCGAACAGGCAACGCGCATCGAGAGCGAGAGAGAGATGAATTGGTTTTCGAATTTCAAACTTATGAGTGCTGCTGCGATGCAACGGAGCACGACAAAAATATTTAGATGGGCTTCCGCGGGAATAAGCCCAATATAATATTACGGGTTCAACACGAACAAAACTACTTGCCGTTCCGTTTCACACAACCAAAACTACTTGCCGTTTAATGTTATTCTCTTTTAAGAGTAATTGTTGTATATGGGTTTGAACTTGATAATAATCTTCTCAGTGAATGTGTTTGTATATAAAAAAGGTCAATGGAAATTACATTAATTGTTGTAAACCTAACTCCACCCATTTTACTTTTTCACCATATCGAATCTTTCTTATTTTAGCCAAAAGCTTCTCTCTTAAGAATGCCTTAATTTGATCAGTTTTTGCTTTCAACCACTGAATTAATTTCATGTGGTATATGGGACATTAAAAACAATGTGCTTAGCAAATTGTCATCTGTATAATGAATCATTAACTCCAATCAAGCCAGGAATTTACGTTATCAGTTTTTTTTCTACTACATTCTTAAAAATGTGATAATTTAAGATAGTTTTGGGTTAATTTGACTAGTGAATATATATATATATATATATATACACAACATAGTTATATATAACATATTCACAACTTACACAAAATTGAGTAACCTAGAATTCCAATTATATTTAGCAACCTGATTTTTTATCTCTCTCTATATATATATTTTTTTTTTATACATTAGCGACTGACTGAAATAAAAATCATCATTCCACATCAATTAAAAATCTTTACAACAACAAAAATACTATCTTTAACTTGAACTAAGTAGACCATGTCACGTACGTAATCGTTATTCTTTATTTCCGTTTTGAGAATAAAGGTATAGAGAGAACTAACACGGTTTTGAATTTATCATATATAACTTGATGTGATGGTGAATCGTTTAATTATGAAAACACTTTATCTATTTCGTAGTTACTACTTTTTTCTTTTTTTTTTTTGAGATAAGACAAATGTATGTGGACAAATAATTATTTGGTGGAATGAGAGTGGTTTTTGACTAATGTTCATCACCAAATAAATATACATTTCAAATATTAAGGATATACTAGCTAGCATCATACAACTACGAACTAGATTATTAAACATTCACGCAAGACTATTTTTGTACATACTTTATACATACATACTTCTGCTTTATATATATTGTGAGTTACAAAGACTGACCGATTTTCTTAGGTTTAGCAGCTTCAATTTTTCTCTAATAATTCTTCTGCTTTATATATATTGTGAGTTACAAAGACTGACTAAAGTTTATCAAAAATATTCATGTGAGTTGCCAAACCTTATACATACTTCTTAGTGACAAATGAAGATTCATTCATAATTGGGCTTGATCCACTAAACTAGCCCAATAATGTTTTCTCTTTTCTTCATTAACTCTTCTTCACCTTCGAAGGAATTCCTCTACGACAAAAGAAAAGCATCGTCTCTCGTTTCTCTTCCAATTTCAAGATTAACCACTTATTTCGGTTCCAACAGTTTTCGAATTTCAAACTCAGCTCATCGTAAGCATATTCGAAACAGAGAAATAAAGATATATAGATGGGCTTCGGCGAGAATAAGCCCAATACAACATTAGGGCTCTTTGTTAGTATTGTTACCCCATAGTATGAACAAATTGTCAGCGGCTCATCAAGCTCCAAATTTAGTCTCAAACTAGAATCTAATCCGCGGTACACCGCGGGGCTATATATTTATAAAGAAATGTAATTTTTTTTTATAAAGATTAACTAAAGATATATCATATTAATTTATATTTTTTAAATGTAGATATCTATCTGTGTATTATTTAGTGTATGATTATTATTGTTTAGGTTTCAAATTTTAATGTATAGATGCGAAAACATACAGTTTATTAAGTAACGATGTATGGTGGATTTAAAAACTTGAATATTTTACCCCACACTATATTGCTTGTTTTGTTTCATGGTATACCGTGAGACTATATGCTAATTTAAAATTATAATGTTAAAGATTTGATGAGTATATATAGCTGTATATTTTAAAGATTTGATGAGTATATATAGTTACAAATCCATATCTATATATTATATTGTTTACGATAAACATGTTTTCAGATTTTTCAGATTATATAGATAATAGTTTTAATTGAGTAGTAAGATTTTTGGTTTACTATATCTTGATTAAATTAATAAATATATAGAGAATTAAGTCTAAAATTTATAAAATAAAATAAAATTTAGAGAATCAAGTCTAAAATCCACGACTCTTACTGCTACAATTCTGACAAAAATAAGCTACAAATATATGTACAAAAACCCGTAATTGTTACAAAGTTGTTAATGGGAGAAAATCAAAACCATTGAGATTCTCTTGAAACTAATAAGTAATAAAACAAACAAAATTCAATATTATCTCATTTCTCGTAAGAGAAAAGTCACTCAACGATGTTGGTTACACAACGGATCTTTACCTGAAAATATTCATTGTAAAACAAAATTTTAATTAAAAAAATTTGGAAAATAATGTTAAAAACAAATTGTTGATGTAAAATGGCGCTTTGAATACTATGTTATTGTTGAAGAAGCGAGTCGTCACGTCTTCTTGACTCAGACGGAGTTGTAACAGTTGCCGCAGTAGACGACGGTGTAGTCACCGTTGAAGACGACAATTTGCAGACGACAATTTGCAGAAAGTCATTGTTTTATTTTCCATCTGAAGGATTTGTCCCTTCTACAAAAATGAAAAAAATATTATGAGAAAAGAAAAAACATTGCAGATTATAAGAAAGATTAAGATATACTCACGTTAATGCAGTTATGTGATTACAAAAAAAAACAGAATCTCAAACATAAAAATTAAATTTGAATTAAGAACAAAGATTACCTTATGAATATACCTTGAAGGATGTATGTGCTATTTTTGCTAGAGGCGAGTATAGTTTGGAATGAGATTAGAAAAATATTTGCTTGATGAATCTAGTAGTGGAGTAAAGATTGGTATTTATTGAGAAGGTAGAAGTCTAGGTTTATGGTTTAGGTGATATGAGAATATCAAAGATACGAATAAAAAAAATGGTTATCACAATGAATGATTGTAATAATTAAGGGAAGATTAGGAAATTAGGAGATAACAAACTTTATCTCTAAAAGATTGATGATGATTTGGTTTAGGTAACGTTAGTTTATCATTAATTTGGAGAATATGCCATTAATTTGTTTCTCATTTCAGTTAACCGAGAATCGATATATTGACCCGATTCGCTAATGATTGTTTTAATTAGTAGAGAAATTAGTGTTTGCCATTAGTATAAATCGTATATGGAGTTAAGACATTGTTTCTATTACTGAAAATAATTGAATGCTGTTTTATATGTTTGAGATATTTGTCGAGATATTAGAAAATATTTTGGCGAGATTTTTGGTAACAATTTGAGTAACGAAATAAAATTAAAAATCTTTATTCAAATTAAACAAATCTAAACAATTAATGTCAATGGCATTCATCCGTAAATACATTCCAACTCCAGGATTTATTTGCTAAAAGTCATCCAAAAATGTATATATAGATACTCCTCAATAGTAGAAAGACAAAATTACCCTTAATGAGGGTTGATTTCGGGTGATAAAGGTTAAATACAATTAAATCGGTAAGTGTTCAACGAAAAACTCAATAGCTCAGTGGTTGCTAGCTCCATGCGCACGTGCGCGCCCCCAGGGTTCGAATCTTTTTATACGGGTTGTAACTGGTACAACTAGGGAAAATTCGGGAATATTCTGGTACAACTAAGTTGTGGTACAACTAGGAGGAGGTACAACTAGGATAGGTATACGTGGTACAACTGGTATATACCTAGTAAAGGGGTAGTTTCGTCCTTTCATTAAAAGGAGGAGAATATGTGGATTAGAGGAGAGTATGTAGATTAATTCTTTGACTCTGAGGAGCAATTGAGATTAGTCCCCGTCCATATTTGTGAAACTTATATACTGCTCGATTATATTTTCCTCTCTCTCTCAATATAATGTGAATAAATTTTCAGTCTTAATAACGAAACAAGTACTTTACTGTAGTAAGAAAATAAAAAACCACAATCATTATTTTATAACAAGGTCTTAATAATTCTCCTTAACAACCGACTGACCGAGCCCATCACAACATGAAAGATTTATTTGTAATTCACGAAGGAAACAATTTCCTTGGTGTTTACAGTTTGTAAAAATATTTTGAAGCCATCTTAATTATTATAAATATATGTCACTCATCTACTCATATCATGTTGGGAATCATGCATGATCTAGTTGTCATCCAAAGGATCAAGCAGGAGGCAGATGACAAATAAGGTTATAGAAAAGCATAAAAGGGTTGCAATAAAGTCGGGCCATGATGAGAATGTTCCTAACCCACCTAAGATAGCAAACAAGCCTCCTAAGTATATGGTGGACAGAATATGTGTAACTGTAAAATCTTCCACCGGACAAGAGAGTTGCACGATCGAAATCCCCGCTAGTATAAGACACAAGCCAATTATCGACCCCTCTACTCTGCTCATGACGTCTTGGACATTATATGAGATGCAATACATAAATATCATCACGGCCAAGAAGAATAATGCCCGCCCCTCCGGCCCTAGTCGATATCTTGGGACTGGAACATCTTTGAACAAGCACCTAATTACCATACCAAGGTATATAGTATTCGCAGCCCTCAGTGTTGCGTGTCTAGACATGATGAGACATAATACAATTAAATAATCATCCAAATAACTACACCAAATCAAATCTATATACAACAACAATTTCCTTACACATAAACGGGCATACAGCTAGGGGGTTCAGTTTCGAAGAGGATCTTTAATGATACTGTCAAGGCAAAGAAATAATATAATAGACGACTATAAAGACAAGTCACTTCTTCCACTTTCTTTTCACCTTTCATTTTCTGTGATTTATTAGGACGAGGCGCACAAGACTACAAAGAAAAAACAAGCTAGAGACGTTTTATATGTTAATATGATGAATGCATATTGATCTTTTTATACTAAATCGAAGGTGATTAAGAGAGATTTGATCAAATCTGTATCCAATCAAAATTTGATAATTTTTTACCAATTTAATACATTTTTCTAACTTAAACTCTATAAATATACATAATTATTTAATTACTATCCAACTCACTATTTAACAAAATTGATAAAATAAAAATGAATGATTTAACATCAAATATATATATATATATATATATATATATATATATATATAAAACCTTGACACATCAATATTTAGCTTATTTTATACAAAGTTTATTTATTCAGTCATTTACTTTTAATTGATTTAAAAGAAAATCTTGATTTCGAAGAAACCGGTAGGGACTTCCTTTGTCTTGAAGAAGCTAAAGGAGCTTAAGGGACACTTGTTCGCTACTTCTTTCGGAGCCACCAGCTCGATCTAAGTTACCAATATTTAACCGGAATAAACCAAAATTGAATCAATTAAAAAAAATTGCTAAATAAATTTATTCAATTTAATTGTTTCGTTAGAAACATATAAGTGCATATGTGTATATGAATTAAATTGAAAATTAATATAATTGACGAACTTGGTGAGTATCTTCAAGATGATCAATCCAATCATGGATCATGAACTGAATCTGTAGAAACTAGAGACGGCTAGGTATTTAGAATATTCGTGTTATTGATTTTAAAAGATTACATCAAGTATTTATACAAAGAGATACTAGGTTAACTACCAATATGAGTTTATAAGTAGTTGAATCGTTTAACTTTTAACAGGTTTCACAGCATTTACTAATTTAACATCCCATGTGTATAAATCTCTAACCAGGGTAACAAAATGGAAATGTAAGAAAAAATTGAAGAGAGAGTAATAAACGTTTTCTTAGAAGTTTTAACTTAGAGAACAAGTGACTGAAATCTCAACAGGCTGGGGACAGAATAAAAGAGAGAAGAGAACATGTTCCATCTTCATGTTCATGTTTATGTCAACACACAGCATGTTAAAGACACGATCCCGGAAACACGAAAACTGGAATAATCTAAACTAATATCTTCTAGCCGCCTGGAATCACTTGCTTTTGACCATCTGGATACGCATTGACAAAACAAAGCAAAAAAAAAAGATTAAGCCTGCTCGTTAGCTTGATGCGTATGGATTTCTTTCAAGATACATACACAGAAATTAAATCCATATTATTTTTTTGAAGTTCTTCATCTAACTCACATGCCAGACCAATCGCAAAGTTAGCTTGTTTATCAGCTTCAGAATTCAATTCCTGCACACCGGACAGCTTACAATTAATGGCAATGAACTCAAAGATATTCAGTTCTAGTTCGCACTCAAAACCAAACATGATTGGATATCTAATGATTGTTACGCAGAAAAACTACAGAGTTGATCACAACTCAACACTAGACCAAGCGGGTTTGGTGGCTTACCCTGTCAACGTGTTCGATATGGAATGTTTTGAACTTGCTCTTGAGCTCCTTAGCCTGTTTGCACAACTCAGCCATTTTCGGGTGTTTGGTTTTCCATGCATCTTGAACCTATTCCATTGACGTATCCAAGTAATCAAAACAATGAAGGCACTAACATTGAATCATTCAAACAAAACAAAAAGATAGAGTGAATTTTTATATCTGGACCTGCATAACCACAAGCATTGAGTCTCCTTGGACGCGCACATCTTTAAACCCTTTGTCAAGAGCAGACCTCAAACCAAGAATCAGAGCTCGATACTCTGCGACGTTGTTAGTGGCAATGCCAACACCTTCCCGTAAATAGAAGAGGACACTTGTGTCTGAAGCACGGAGAACAGCTCCTGCACCAGCCTTCCCTGGGTTTCCTTTAGAAGCACCATCAAACTCAATGGTACATGAATCCTGAGGGCGAATGATAGATAAAGGAATTATGAAGATGCAGAAAAAAAAAACAAGCATATGACCTTGTCATTTGTATAATGAATCATTAACTCCAATCAAGCAAGGAATTTTTGTTATTAGTTTTTGTCTACTACATTCTTGAAAATGTGATGAATTTAAATATTTATATATATATATATATATATATATATATATACATAGGTATAATATAACATATTCACAAGTTACTCAACTTACACAAAATTGAGTAACCTAGTATTCCAATTATATTTAGCAACCTGATCAATTAAAAATCCTTACAAGAACAAAAATAATATCTCTAACTTGAACTAAGCAGACCATGTCACGTACGTAATCGTTATTCTTTATTTCCGTTTTGAGAATAAAGGTATCTATATAGAGAGAACTAACACGGTTTTGAATTTATCATAACTTGGTGTAATAAATCACCTCCTCTTTCTTCTAGTTTAGGAAATTTGAATGCATCTTCCTTCTCACTTACTATTACTGTATTTAGGTTAAAGTTGTAGAAAACAAAAAATATTCCACGGTCATTAATTGATGAGTTTGAACCAACCTTTTGAAAATTTGTTACAAGTTGGAAACACGTTAATAATTTTCAACTTTATTAAGGTGATATGTAGAGGATGCCCATTTGTAAACTTGGTGTGTTAGCTTGATTTCACTTTTCTCAGCAAAAAAAAAATTTCGTTTCTCTCTTTCACTCACAGAATTAATTATATAAGAAATCAAATCCTCAAGAAATCTCTGTCCACGCTTTACCAGAAGGTGATGAGTTTCATAATAGCCATAGTCGAGTTGATGGATCTTATTTGCACGAAGCTTAATGAGCTTTACAAAAGAAAGTCCGTTTTTCTTCAGATCCAAGGTTTCTGAAAAAAAAAACTGGTTGGTTTATGTAGGGATGAGTTTTTATATGGCCGCAGTCATCTTCCTCATGGTTAGCTGCTTTGGAGTATCCATGGAAACCCTGGATCGGAAGAAAAATGGGCTTTCTTTTGTAAAGCTCATTAAGGTTCGTGCAAATAAGATCCATTAACTTGATTATGGCTATTATGAAACTCATCACCTTCTGGCAAAGCGTGGACAGAGATTTCTTGAGGATTTGATTTCTCATAATTAATTCTGGAACGGGGAAATAAAGACATATAGGTGGGCTTCGGGGGAATAAGCCCAATACAACATTGGCGCAATATTTGTTACCCACTTACCCCCTACATATTTGTGAAACCCATATATTATATTTTGATATTTTCCTTTCTCTCAACATAATGTGAATAAATTTTCAGTCTTAATAATGAAACAAGTAATCTAGTAAGAATTTTGTCCAAAAAAAAAAAAAAAAAAGTAATCTAGTAAGAAAAAAAAAAACAAATATCACTAATTTATAACAAGGTCTTAATAGTTCCCCTTAACAACCGAGCCCTTTATAATATGAAAGATTTGTTTGTAATTTACGAAGGAAACGATTTCCTTGGTGTTTATAGTTTCAGAGCCGGCCCAACAAATTTATGGGCCACAAGCAACAATTTTTTTTTGGACCTATAAAATTAATAAGTTAAAAAAAACTGAAAGTTTTATAAAGAACAATAATGAGGCTTCGAAGCCTGCACCAACTTTCTCTATTAACTTAAACGTAACCACCTGAACTAAAGGATACTTTATTAAAATTGGAGGCCGAATATTTACTTATATTTAAGAGGGCCACAAGTTGATGCTTCATCAGCCTGTCCTTAAGGCCGGCTCTGTATAGTTTGTAAAAATATTGTGAAGCCATCTTGATTTTTTTTTTTTTTGTCAACCAAGCCATCTTAATTATTATAAATATCTGACACTCTACTCATATCATGTTGGGAATCATGCATGATCTAGTTGTCATCCAAAGGATCAAGCAGGCAGATGATAAATAAGGTTATAGGAAAGCATAAAAGGGTTCCAATAAAGTCGCCGGGCAATGAGGATGTTCTTCCTATCCCACCTAAGATAGCAAACAGGGCTCCTAAGTACATGGTGGACAGAGTATGTGTTGAAACTGTAAAATCTTCTACCGGACAAGAGAGTTGCACGATCGCAATCCCCGCTAATATAAGACACCAGCCAAATATCGACGCCTCTACTCAGTGGCGGATCTAGAACCGTATTTTGTATGGGGCACAAAATTTTTTTATATATATGTTTTATTTCAATTATTTAATATATATTTACATGATTTTAATATTATATATTATTTGATTAGTTAAAGACAAAATAATTAAAAAAAAAAACTTAAAACTGACATTTGACAAAAAAAAGTTAACCAAAAAAACAAATTATAACTATTATTGGAAAAACTAATAAAAAATAAAGAACATGTTGCAACGTTGGAAGGATTCGAACCATGGAATGGCTAATACTTTACCAAGGCACCCAACCAAAGAAGCTAAGTCATATTTGGTTAATTGTGCTACTCACAAAATATTATAAATCAGTATGGGGCACGTGCCCCACCATCTCTTAATCTGCATCCGCCCCTGCCTCTACTCTGTTCATGACGTCTTTGACATTATATGAGATGCAATACATAAATATCATCACGGACAAGAAGAATAATACCCGCCCCTCCGGCCATAGTCGATATCTTGGGACTGGAACATCTTTGCTCAAACACCAAATTACCATACCAATGTATGGAATATTCGCAGCCCTCAATGTTGCGTATCTAGCCATGATGAGACATAATACAATTGAAAATCATCCAAATAACTACACCAAATCAAATCTATATACAACAACAATTTCCTTACACGTATACGGGCATCCAGCTAGGGGGTTCAGTTTCTAAGAGGATCTGTAATGATACTGTCAAGGCAATGTAATAATAGAACAGACGACTATAAAGACAAGTCACTTCTTCCACTTTCTTTTCACCTTTCATTTTCTGTGATTAATTAGGACGAGGCGCACAAGACTACAAAGAAGAAACAAGCTAGAAACGTTTTATATGTCAATATGATGAATGCATATAGATCTTTTTATACTAAAATCAAAGGTGATAAAGAGAGATTTGATCAAATCTGTATCCAATCAAAATTTGATAATTTTTTACCAATTTAAAATTTTTTTTAACAAAATTGATAAATAAAAATTATGATTTAACATCAAATACATACATAATTACATATATAGACATTAAGAAAAAACCATTAAAACCTTGACAAATCAATATTTATCTTATTTTATACAAAATTTATTTATTAAGTCATTTACTTTCTATTGATTTAAAAGAAATCTGCAAAAATAACTGTTTTTCAACAATTTTTGTGTAAATGTCAAATTCAAAAACGCCTTGCACATATAGGCAGTCTCTCGATGTCATGTGATGAAAATGAAACAAGTATTTAAAATTGTATGAATTATATCATGTACATTATTTTAATTATAACAAAACAGGATTACAAACAACTTATTGAATCACATGTATATCACCCATTTATTTATTTATATAGTACATGATTGATGTCAAACAACTTACAATGTCGAAACACAGCTCACAACCAACAAATACCAATAAAAGAAAAATCTTTTTTTTTTTTCTTTTTTGTCAACCAAAGAAAAATCATTCAAAGTGCATAAATCACGTTAAAATGATCTAAGAAGGAATTCGGAGATAGAGAGGGATTGGATTTTTGGTAACTGGAGGTGAATCCCATACCGAAAATGCACTTTCAGAGTTCATCCATTTATCAGTCATTTCAGGATAATGACGATCAAACACATCCTTGAGACTCTCTGTAGTATTCACCCATTCAAGCCCCTTCTTCGAATAAATCGTTTCATTGAAATCACTCGTGAAAAACCTATCCGCTTCTAATCGCCTGAAATGTTAAAATTAGCATTAGATTAATTAAGCTTTTAGTTTCTAGTTTACTATAATATCTTCAAGAAAACTTGGTTTTATATATTAAATCTTTAATTCATTTATAAGAACCAAATATATACCTTGTGGCCATGATGATGAAAATGTAAAAAGCAGTCTCACTGATAGCAAAACCTTTGATTTTCTTCTCTGCCATAAGTCCCACGAGAAGATCAAGCTCCTCCACATCACCATCGTACACGTCATCCAACACTTTAATAGCTTCCTCATCATCCGTTAGATCTTCCCACTTGGTTATCGGAATCATAAACATGGCTCTCCTGAAATCGTTGTACCGTGGGACGTTCCTCTCCCTGTCCCTATAGACTAAAATAATCGACAAACCGAATTCACGTGAGAATCAAGTCAAACCACAATGAACGGCTGGGATCACATTGACTTACTCTCTAAAGCAGCTAAGTCGACGTGGTCCGGACGATCTTGGCCGTTGGGGTCTTGGGGAACAATGTCTCTTAACCACATTGGATAATTCATCAGTTCAAGGGCACCACTTGCTTGGTGACCCATTGAGACCATTAGCTTAGTGAATCCAATCTGAGACATGGTTTCTTCTCCCTTACGACCAATCAAATTTCCCATAGAAATCCTAAATCCAAAGAAATAATAAAACACTAAAACTTTTATAAAATTGAAAACTTCAAAATAGGAGAGAGAGAGAGATGTATAAAGTATAGAGTTATACTCTTTAATCAACGGTAGTGATTTATTAGCTCCTGGTACATCATCAATGTCACGCATCTGGAGATGATCAGGTAAGAGAGAGTGCATTCGATAGACGCTAGTGAAATCCTCGGTTAGAGAGTAAGGGACCCCATGATTTTGCGGTTTCTTCATTCCCACGACACCTCCCAAGATCGAACTTCCTGCATGTCCGAAAGAATCTTTAAACTTCTTTCCTAGTAGTCCGTACCTAAAATCACAAAATATTAAAAGTGTTAGATATTGCAACATATGTGATACGTAACGTGAAAATCATAGATGGAAAAGAACAAAAATGTGGTATTGACCAATTTGCTCTCATCCCAGCAAGTAAAGTGTCGGTTTTGAGAAGCTGGACTGTCCAATCTATGGTGTGAATCTTGGCTATCACCGCTGAAGTCACTAGCCTCGCGTACCGGTACAAATCTTCGTCTTCCAAATCCTTATCCTCATCCTATTTTGAATAAAAATTTTCAAACTGGCACAAAAATTATTCAAATTTCGTAATTTACATTTTCTAAAAAAAGAGAAACAAATATTGAACCTTGAGGGCGTCGCATACAGCGTTGTGCTCTTTGATGAAGAGAGCTTGCAAAGCGGAGACGCCAACCCAACTGTTACGAATATCGCCGGAGATAGCTAACCCGTCTTCGTCATGGAGAAGGAGACCCGTCTCCTCCGATATCTTCAGTTTCCCATCTTTGTAAGTTCTTACTCTATCCAATATTTTCGAGTTGCTTCCATAGATGACGCTCGAATCCCTAATTTATTAATATTTCGTTGAATTATTTGTAGTCATCATATATAATTAAATGTATGATTTGTATGCATGAATATGTGTGTTTACGTCGTCCATATATCCCCACACAAGAATTTTTTTTTTTTTTGATCTTAACCGATCCCACAAAAATGTTTAAGCCAGAAAAAAACGTGTATAGCAACACATTTTAATGATTTTATATGATAGGTCTAGAATAAAATAATTACCACCAAGGTGTACGGATATTTAGCGAACCAGTCTTGATTTCGAAGAAACCGGTAGGGACTTCCTTTGTCTTGAAGAAGCTAAAGGAGCTTAAGGGACACTTGTTCGCTACTTCTTTCGGAGCCACAAGCTCGATCTAAGTTACCAATATTTAACCGGAATAAACCAAACTTAATTGTTTCGTTATATAGCATATTAATTATAAGTGTGTGAATTGAAATTTACTTGGCGAGTATCTTCAAGATGATCAATCCAATCATGGATCATGAATTGAATCCAAGAAGCTGCGATCATATTGAATTGTTTTCCTGTGTCAATAAACTTTCTCCTTCCTAATAGTTTTGACGCCACCACCATGGGGTCTGGCCTCAGTAACTTCAAAAAAATCATTATAACAGGCTTAATTTCTTTTGTTTTAAAATATTTCAAAACTTGCTAAAAATGGGTAAACGTGTTTAAATATACAAACTTCTCAATAAATTATTCTTTTATATTAGCTATCAAATCGAAAATATTAGCATAACGTAAATTCCTTCATTACCCAATTTTAATTGGTTTGCAATTCATTTTTCATACAAGACTAGAAACAAAATATGTAAAGTATTTTCTTTTCTCCAAATCAAAAATGATTTGATAAATTATTCAGTTTAGTTTATATACGTTTTATTAATAAAGTTTAATTAGTATATACTTTGATCATCTAATTAATGAATCTAAAATCCAAATATCTGGATTAAAATCAAATCAAATTCGAAACCTTAATACACATATATGTATGTGAATTTACCTTTGTTATCTGATCGACGGGGGGACAATTTCTTCCGAAGAAGCTATTTTGACTGCCGACGCCTTCATTAAACGGATCATTGAATTTTCCGTCAGCAGTCCGGTACGGATAATTAGCAGGATCAAACCGGGTCCCAACCGGACTTTGACCCACGTTGATAAGATTGTATTCTTGGTGAAGATGTCTACGTACTTCAAGATAGGCTAAACCCAAGAAAACCGGAAGCTTATGCCATGGAACCATCTTATCCACTGCATGCACGATCTGCACCATGCATTTACATCGGATCATAAATATTTTTCCAATATATCAAATAAACATTATAGATCATCCAAAATTAATGTGTCACCAGGACTCGTGAACATATGTGATATGTTACATTAAAAAACATCTCGAATTTCCAATATTAGTCTTTTGAAATTTAAGACTAATAGCAAAGTGTTTTGTGGAATTAAAGAAACGAAAACCCATCCATAGCAATTTAAATTCATTCATTTCCAAATTAAAAAAAAGTCGTGGATGTGTTTCTACGTGCATATATATATATATATATGAAAGTTCAATTACTTACAAGAAGTAGAAAACGATCGAGGAGGGACATTCTTGAGTAAATCTCATGAAAGTCTTCGTGGATAAATTTAAGCAAAACAGAAGAGATTAGAGAAGTAATTGCTTTCATCCTGTTAAATTATGTGAAATGTCAAAAGAGAAATGTTTGAATAGAGTTGTGAGTGTTGTAAGAAAACCTTGTATTAGTTGTCTATTTATAAGCACGAACCATGAAAAAAGAGAAGACTATTCAAATATGTATACTACTTAAAATTAGATTGAGTTTTCTTTTCCAATATATATGTATTATTTGTGTCATTACCATTCTTTTCTTGTTATTATAATTTTGAAAATGTGCCTCATTAACTTTGTATCGTTGTGATTTAAAATATATGTGACTCCGTAATTATTGAGTTGTCTCAAGATTAGACAATATATAAGTTAACTGCAACTCGAATTACTATGAATTTTTTTTATTACTTTGCTGAAAATATATTTTGGTGTAAGTCCAAAATAAATCCGTGCAAGTTTTATCATTTGGTGTAAAACTGACAATGTCGTCATAGTATTGATAGCATTCATATGGACTTGCAGAATCGAACAAATACGTTGTTTTGAAATCGATTGAAAACATTAAATAAAAATCAACACAAATAATCACTAGTCCGTTCGTGATCCACATCAGTATATCAATATGAGCTAACTCGAATAAATTCGTTAAAGTTTGAATTCTGAAAATTGTATACTTTTGAAGTCATCTTTTGGATTACAGTAATTAATTTCGTTGATTTTTTTGTTTTCATCCTTAGAATATATATAGATAATGTGATGGAAAAAAATTGTTACTGAATTTTTACTGTGTCGGTTTTCACCAAACACACAAAGATTAAAAGACTGAGATTCAAAATAATGATCCATTAAGATAAGTATATAAGAGCATCTCTAATGGTGAGAGATCCCATGGGTTCTCTTCAATTATTTAATATGAATTTTTAGAGAACCAATTCTCTTTGGATTCCCAAATTTCTCTGTAGAAAACCACCTCTTCCCATTATTAAGTTTTTTAATTTAATTTTAATTACTTTTTATCAGAGAAACTCACAAAAGAGCTCAACTACCATTGGAGTTGCTCTAAATACAGCCATCAAGCAGCTACGTAGAGGAAATAGATTAGCTCAGTCCTATTTCCTATTTGAATTTGATAATTAATTTTACGAATATCAGAAAACGTCCGAATCTTGGGCTCTTAAAGATATGTATGGACACGTTTGTTTTTATAATATATATATAGACAAACCAAATGTCAAAATGTCTTGAATGAAATGTTAAAATAATACCATTTCTGTTAATTTCCGTGCATGTTACTCAAAATTAATAGTATAAAATTTAAACTATATACATTTTATGATTTCAACACCACGAAAATTAGTTGACCAAAAAAATTCAATACTCCATCTCTTTCGCAAAAGAGTGTCATTATAGAGTTTTATTTTTGTTTCACAAAAAGTGTAATTCTACATTTTCAATGTGATTTTTGTACTAAATTTTCTAATTTACCCCTAATCCAATGGTACTTTTTTTGAATTTAAATAACTAATCACTTATTAAATAAGGGCATATATGTATAATCTAAAGTTTTCTAAATTTATATGAAAGAAATGTGTCAAAATGATACTTTTTATGAAACGGAGGAAGTAGTTTTTTTAATATTTCGGTTGCTTAATTTGCACGACTTAGCAGGTTGAGAATTCTAAATTTAGAAGTTTTTGATTTATTGTTTTCATCATAATTAAAAGTCATACAAGTAAACTCTTCGATTAGGGTTCTTCTTGTTTCTTCAACCAAGTTCATAATTAATATTTTATTGACAAGTCTATATATATGACGTCTTTTTTTGTAGCATCTGTATATTCGAATAATTATCTTTAAGAAAATCTTCAAAATCACATGAAGGGGTACTAAAACAAAAGGGTAAAGTCAAACTGGACCAAATACCTGTCGTGTATATATCCACTAAAAAAAAAACAATAACAACAATTTATACGAAATTTGTCTTGTTTGTCAAAAGAAAAAAAAAACGAAATCTGTCTTCTATGAGAATGAGATGCTCTAAGTTTATATATGGAAAAATTGTCATTTAAATCATTAGTTGTTTATTTTCGTTGATTTAACGTATAAATTCTGTAACTAATGATTAAAATGTTCAATTTTATATTGACTTTCAATTTAATCACGAATTTTTGTTGATAAAGCTAATATAATTGAGGTACAATATCAGAATCGAAAGAAGAAAATTGATATCCAAATTAGAACTTAAAAATTATAAATTCTCTCAATTTCTTCTCTAATCCTTTGGATTTCTTCTCAAATCCCGATTTAATTTTATTTTCTCAAGATTTCTTCTTTCGATTTCGATTTTGTGCCTCAATTGGCTTTTGTCAACAAAAATGCGTAATTAAATTGAAAATCAACATATAAATCAACAAAAAAAGACAACTGATAATTTAGATGACATTTTTCTTTATATATATATATATATATATGTCATCTATATATATATATATAATAGTATTAATTTATCTTGCATATTTAATTTGATTTGCGCTCGTACTCTTCTTTTTTTAGATAACAGAACTATCTGGAATGCACATATGTCATATAGTTAGTAAATATTTATTCGTTTTTGTTAAAGCAAAGAAAAGCTAGCTAATTTGCATCAGCAAATAACAATAATTAAGATGTAGGTATATCTATATATCTTGGGATTATAAGCAAATGTCTTCAAATAAAATTTCATGGGACTGTTTGAGTAAAAATCACTTCTCTCATCAATGATTTTAGCAATTTGAGTTATTTGTAACAAGTTAACAAACGCTGTAATTCATTAGAAAGCAGACGTTCGATTCGGCCATGTCATGCATGTTCGTTCCTTCGGCTAATATATATGAAAAGTTGTAAAAACCATCTGGTGACGCTTCAACTATCAATCACTACAACTATTACGTTTCAACCACCAAAAACTCATGGTATATTGTAGTCTGATGCCTTAAAGAGTAACGCTGTCCACCTAAACCACTAAAAATCAATTCCAAGACTGGAAACAAGTAATTTCCTATATATAATCCTCCTCCTCCTCCTAATCTAGGAAAGTGCTTTATGATTTCTTGTACCCATTCGATTACTATAGAGTCCCTGAAAAAGGTAAACCTTTTCCAAATTCATAGGATAAGATCAAATCAACTACTACAAGGAAACATATATATATATATATATATATATATATATGTGGCAGAAACAAGATATATGCTAAAAAAAAGTTCAACAAATTAAAAGATAATATTTAGTCACCAAAATAAAGTCAAAAACCAAAGAAAGAAAATCAGTAAAGGATGGTGGTACATCAATCGTAGTTTGTTTGACAAAAGAAACAAAGACAGGCATGGTTACGGGTTACCAAATCATAGATAAATTAGAATTCCATAAAAGGGGAAGGAGGAGGCTAAACAAGCGATCCTATAAAAAGCAAAACGAGACGAGACATGGTAATCCTTGTGGCTGTGGTACACTAATTCTTACACGATTTAATTTGCTCTAATCCAAATCTTATTAACCTAGCTAATAATCATATGGTGGAACACTAACTCTGACACGCTTTACCCTAATCCAAATCCTATGAATCTAAATCTTGGTGGTTTGAAAAGTTAACAAGATGTTAAACCGCGCGATAAAAACGTCAATAAAATATAGACTAGACTTGTGAATGTGTAGCTCATATCTATATTCCATGTGGTTGGTTAACATAAGCCATCAAGAACAAAAACAAGAAAATCGGATTTTCTTCCAATTATTTCTCAATATGTTTCCTTGGTGATTGTTCTAATATTTACGAGAAAGATGATTTTCTTTTTAAATACATTGCTAATAATGACAAATTAATAATTTAATACTGTAAGATTCAAAAAATGTGTAAGATAGGTTTTAATATGGGAGATTCGAAGAAGAAACGAACAAAGTGGCCCTCTCATTTTTTGCTCTGACACACGACACACGTGTTGCCTTGATTCAGTGAAAGAAAGACAAGTCGAGCGCGTGACATTCACTTATCCATCGTGGCGCTATCGAAATCGATTGAGCATTTAGTGGAAACCGGTAACGATGGCGCAGCGAATCTCATCGAGTAATCTCGGTACGGGAACTCGTCATCAAAATGTCCGGTTTGCTTTCCGTCATCGAAATTTAATGAGTAGCTCAACGGATCGTACCGGAATTTACCCTGATCCGACCGGTTAGTCATTGCACCGCATCCTCCGCTACTGTTTCCGACTCTCCCTCCTCCTCCTCCGCAGCAGTGGTTGCGTCCGAATCGGCGGATAAAAGTCTTCCATCTAGGACCGGCGACAAGCTCCGACCACTCCCTCATCCTCCGCCACCCTCGGATCCACCATCGTTCGTCGGGTTCGAGTTTGTCGACGGTCGTGATCCGTTGCCACCACACAGATCCGCCGCGAGTGGACGGCTGAGATGAGGCTAGGCATGGCATAAGGAAACAACAGCCTCGCTTCGCGAACAACGCTTCGTGCATATCGTCGGTGGCATCAACTTCAGAGATCGGCGGCGATTGGTGACTCATTCTCTGAGAGATAGAGAGAAACGAAGGAAATGGATGTAGCTACTCTCTTTTGTCTCCTTAGATCTTCGTTCCTCTTCTCATTCTCCAACTCTAAACCCTAATTTTCTCCCTCTACCAAGAGATTTCTCTCACCTTCTCCAATCAACGCGTCTCTTGAGCTGGAACTAAAACAGAAGAGCACGAAACGGCGTAACCGCCAACCCGGAAATATTGGTTCTCAATCTCATTAACCCTTATTAACCGCTTTGGTTTTATCACATCTAACCGGGAATTTCAGCTGTTGATGGCTTGATGCTATGAATGGTTCATATAATTGAGTTGTTAGCACTTTTGGTTACAAGTTTTGATCGATACAGGCATAAATTTCCTCGTTTCTTGTTCTACATTTCTAATGATAGGTGTAACCGCAATTAAATTGGTCCGGTTCTCTCTGGCATAAAATTGGTTCGGTTTCTCCATAACCTGACGTTGATAATTCCCAATGGATGATCTAATATTCTTGGAACAGATCATTGTCAGGTGAATGTCCTAACCAAATTCACCTAATCTTTTTGCAAAATCTAATATAGCAAGTAGGAGAATATCTTACTTGTGCAACCAGAGACTCATACGTAAAAATCGGACATACTTTAATGGGATAACCTACAACTGATCTAGAAACTATATCACAATAGTTGTTCTTCAAGTAAGCCTTTTTATGAATATCAATACCGATGAAGACGACACAACTAGTAAAATCTACATCTGCTTAAAGTTTCTTTTTTTTTTTTTGTTTTTTTTTTTGTAGCGAGCTCAATCAGAAGAAGGATACTGGCCAGCAGTTTGTTTCAGATCATCAAGCTGCGTGAGAACATATTCAAGCTTCTGGAAGCAGATCTCATTAGCTATTCTAGCGTTGTAATCGCATTTCTCAAAGGGACGGTACTCGCAAGCGCTTTTGATCTCTTCCCTTAGTGTCACTTGAATATCCTGCAAGTTTCACAAGAACTTCATGTTGTGTATTATGGATTGGCGATAACATTTTCGCATATATGAACAGTCCAAGATCAACAAGTTCATGAATCAGACAATGAAGCTGAAATCTTCAAACTTTATGATTATCTCTAGAAAAAAACCAGAATTAAAACTCCAAACAAAGCCTTTTACTTGTTCACGATATGTAATGATCCCTAATCTAGACTAGTGTTAAAATGAGAGCCCAAATGTTCTTTGAACAGTGAGGTTCTATGAAATATGAAAATATCAGTATCCATCACTCATAAACCTTAAGCCTAAGACTGAAGGATCAATGTCAAATCCTAAGAAACAGAAAAGGAAGACAATTGTAGAGATTGTGAGACATGAAACCATATGTTCACTAGTGAAAGAAGAACAAGTTCATTAACCACAAAACGAAATGCAGCAACCATCTTGAAGACTAAAGCCAGAATCAAAATTCTAAACAAAGCCTTTATTAACTTTGATCAGGAAAGGTAATGAACCCTAACATAGACTAGTGTCAAACTAGCTCAAATGATCAACACTCGAGAAAAGATACCAAATCCACAGAAAAGGAAGACAAATGTAATGAAAGAAAGAGATTGAGTCAGCAAGAATACTAATCTAGACTTATCAAAACACTAGAACCCAAATGAAATCAGAAATCCAGCATTCAAAAACCATAAGCTCAAGAAGAGATTGAGTAAGCAACCTTCATAGATTGCATAAACTCTCGGCAATGGCTGTTGACGAACTCTTTCTTGGGTCCAGAAGGGCTAGCGAGTTCTTCCATCACTCCTCCAGCTAGTTCCAACACCTTAACAACTCTCTGCGGAGAAAACAAGAAAAAAACACAAACACATTCATATCAAATAACTCCCAAATCGTCCATTAAATCTCTAAGGAAAGAGTGAGTGTTCCGAAAATCTCACATTCTCGACATTCTGGAGTCGCTGCAACGAAGTGTTCTGCGTCTGCGGGTCCATTGGACTCTCCACGATTTCTTTAAGAGCAGATACACAACTCCAAACTGAGATATATATATCACAATAACGTCAAATCCACTCATACACATACCCTAATTACTCAAATCGGAGCAGTGGAAGTACCTCAAACGAACACGGCAACGCGATACAGTGAAGATGGCAGAGACGATAATAGAACACGGATAATTTCGATCAGCAACGGAAGAAAGATTCTGGGGAATCGGGCACTCGGCAAACACAGATCGGTGTGAACGGAGAAGGCAAAGAAGAGAGAGGGTTTTAGTCACGTAAAAACGGCACGAATTCTAGTTAAAGGATTCAGGAACAGCGCGTAGTTAAAATATTGAATTACGAAAACACCCCTTCGTTCAGATAAAATATTTGTGATGGCCGCTTTTCTCTTTTATAACGGATAAAAACCGTAAACAACACACAAGAACAGAGGCTGGTACCTAAAGCTTACTCTCTAGCTAACTACAATGGCTCACTTCTTAGACCTCAACAGTCTCACCAACACTTCACCGTTGATTACGAACCTATCCGAGAATCGTAAAACCGGTAAATCTGGCGGGTTTGCTTGCAGGAGAAGTGAAGAATTTCAAGAACCGGATTCACTTCATTTCACAAGACGGTTGACATTGGGATTTGCTGTCTCGATAGGTCTTACCGGAATTCTCGGCGAAAGTAATGTTTCCTTGGCACAAGACAACGGGTTTTGGATCGATGGCCCTCTTCCAATTCCTCCTATTTACAACAGTAAGCACCTTTTCATACCACACTCTTGATTCTTAACTGAGAATTCAAAACCGATCAATATTGGAAACTACTCATATTCAACTTCTGGGTTTGTACAGATATCGTAAATGAGAAGACGGGAACAAGAACATTCATAAAGAAAGGAGTGTATGTAGCTGATATCGGGACGAAAGGAAGAATGTATAGAGTTAAAAAGAATGCTTTTGATCTGTTGGCAATGGAGGATTTGATCGGACCAGATACTTTAAACTATGTTAAAAAGTACTTGAGGCTTAAATCCACCTTTTTGTTCTACGATTTTGACAATCTTATCTCTGCTGCTGCCTCTGAAGACAAGCAACCTCTCACTGATTTAGCCAACAGGTTGTTCGACAATTTTGAAAAGGTAACAATACTAATACCAGTCTTACTCCAGTATACTCAAGTCCTGGTTTATTCAAACCCAAGAGAGTACTGTTTCTTTCTTTTCTTTTCTGACATCCTTCATGGTTTATTTGTGGTTGGTACTATGGTGTTTCGACACAGCTTGAAGATGCAGCTAAGACGAAGAACTTAGCAGAGACAGAATCATGTTATAAAAATACAAAGATTCTTCTTCAAGAGGTAATGACCAGAATGGCATGAACCCAGTTTGGTTTTCACTGGTTTACTTGCTATTGAAGATCATTCATGGTTGAAACTCCATGGTCATAATTTGTAATAGCATTATGCTAGCGAAAAAATGTTGAAATCTAGTAATAAAAAAAAAACAATGTAATATAGAACAAAATATGGTTCAAGGTTAACGAATTGGATTTTGATTTTTCAACCAAAGATAAAGAAACAAGAGTATATGCGCTAAATGACTATAGATGGAAAAAGAATTAACAAAATAACTATGAGTTACTGTAACATTCTTTAATTTCTCTTCAATGGTAATTACATATGTATCCATTTCATTTCATTTCTTATCTTCTCCTTCTCACAAAGCCATGAACTTCTTTCTCCACGTTTGCCGGCAGTCACCACTGCGTCACTCTCCGACATCTTTGCTACAATCGGGATGGCGATGGCGACGGCGACGGCGTTCTCGTTGTTGTTCTTCAAAATGATCAGCAGCCAAGCAGTTGATTTTGATGAGACACATGACAACCATGAAGAAACAGAGGCTACCAGAAAGGGACATCCAAGAATCCTTCGCTACACAACCCAGAATAGCAGACATCGTCCCTAGAACTAGTATGAATGTGGTTCGGCTGGAATTTAAATCCTCGGCAGGAGAATGAAGTTGAACGATTGCAACCGCTCCTGATATAGACATAATCGCCAGAAATGACACTTCCATCATCACATCAAAGTCCTCGATGCAGTAGGATATGCAATAAATGACAACCATTGTAGCTAGGTAGATCCCAAACCGCCCCTCAGCTCCTAGCCGATAACTCGGGACTGGAACATCGTTGCACAAGCAAATGAATAGCAAACCAATGTATGGAATGGTTGCAGCAGACAAGAAGACATACCTATAGTCATGAACACACACACATTATCAATTATCAATATATATATAAACAATCATTAAAATCAATGAGACTAAATCGATAAACACGAAAATTTCCTTACAGTAACTTGTGCAAGGTGCCAATGTTGCGGGTGTCAAACCATAGAACAAAGATGGACCCAACGAGAATGGTGATGACAACTAAGGTAGCGACAGAGTAAAAGGTGATCCGAGAGTCAAAACTTGTCACTCCAGTAGTTACATTCTTCCGATTATCCTTGACATTTAGCTGAGCTCGCGAGTTCATGTCTTCCCCTGAAGGGCTCACGAGTTTTTCCATCACTCCTTCACCTAGTTCCAAATCGCTAACTCCCTAAACGCAAACAGATTCACATTAAATAACTCCATCTAATCTCTAAGGAAATAGTCAGTGTTCCGAAAAATTCACCTTCTCGACATTTTGGACTCGTGGCAAAGAAGTGTTCTGCGTCTGCGGATCCATTGGACTCTCCACAATATCTCCAAAGGAGGACAAGAGTCAAGAACAAGAAAATGAAATATCTTAAAATAACGTCAAATCCACATTCATACACATACACTGAAGAAGGAAATCGGAGCAATGGAGTACCTGAATGGAACACGGCGACGGGAGACAGTGACGGTGGCAGAGACGACGAGAGAACACAGAAAATTCGGAATCAGCGGTGGAAAATGGCGAATTCGACGACGAGATGCAGATCGGCGACGGAGATAAGACTATGGAGAGTCTGCACTCGGCAACACAGATAGGTGAAAGAAGAAAGGGCGAAGAAGAGAAGAGGAATTTTTGTAACCTAAGGACGAAAGGACGACGGCACTAATTCTTCTTATTCTTTCGATCTTGGAACAGCAGGTAGTTATTAAATGCTCAATGACGATAATACCCCTTCGTTTAGATAAATATCTTTGTGATGCTGTTAATTGTCGCTGTACTCCTACTTTGATTTTGTGAGTTACACTATTCAGGAGTTGGTCGACTCTTTGTATTGGTTGATTAGACTAGTTAGTAAAAATTTACTTACAATTAATATTTAGTTTTCAAGAATACTGCTTTAATTAATTAATATGTAATAAATCAAATAAAGATTAGTAGTACCATTAACGTGTTTATTACACCTTCCTCGAGTTACTTTCTTCGTGATGCCAATGGTTGTTTTTTAATTCTTTACCTTCTTTCTTCTGACACAGAGAGTCACATATTTGACTACGGAGATCCATTGCTTCCTACTTATCTTTATCGCGTTGTACCAAGCAACATTTTTTACTTTATAAATTTCCGTAAATTTGATTTTTGTAAAAGAACTTACAGTTTCTCTTTTAAAATTTGATAAATTAACAATTATTTAGCATCATACAATAGTTAACATTTTATTTTATTTTGGTTAAAATTTTGGTGCATTACTTCGAAAATATGTTTAGTACTAGTAAGTGATAGGAAAAGGAACACACAAAAAAAAAAAGGTAAAGATAATTCACGTTTTTTTGTTTCTCTCTCCAAACAGAACTTCGGGAAAAGTGGAATTTTTTTTTTTTTAATAAGAATTCTCGCAATATTTTTTTTGTTTTCAATCTTCTTCTTCTTCTTCTTCTTCAATGCAAACAATGCTCGATTCCAATAACCTAATCGAATAATGGAACTCACTGATTCTACAACCGAGCAACTCGGAGACACTCGGACCGCCGCTCTCAACGAAGAGAATCGCTCCTTTCTCGGTATCGATCTCAACGAAATCCCTACCGGCCCTACTCTCGGCGGTGGTTGCACCGGCGGTCAGGAAGACGACGGCGAATATGAACCTGTTGAAGTTGTTAGGTCAATTCACGATAACCCGGACCCAGCGCCTGGAGCCCCTGCGGAGGTTCCTGAACCGGATCGGGATGCTTCGTGCGCCGCGTGTGGAAGACCAGAGTCTATGGAGCTCGTTGTAGTCTGCGATGCTTGTGAGCGAGGTTTTCATCTGTCTTGTGTTAACGATGGAGTGGAGGCGGCTCCTTCCGCCGATTGGATGTGCAGCGACTGTGTTACTGGCGGCGAGAGGAGTAAACTGTGGCCGTTGGGGGTGAAGTCCAAGCTCATTCTGGATATGAACGCCTCGCCGCCCAGTGATGCAGAGGGATACGGAGGCGAGGAGACGTCTGATTCGAGGTACGTTTCTCTGGTTCTGTTTTCCGACGATGCGTTAGGGTTTTTAGGAATTGAATTTTGGTTGAGATCTAGAACATAAATGCAATACTTGGTTAAGCTGTATTTACATGCATAGGGACTAATGGGTTCAATCGGAAAGCCAAAAACCATTGAATAGCTTTCTATTCATTTGATAATTTTTACGGCTAGACCTTATAGGAGATTTCGTTTTCTCATTTTAATCAGTTGTTTAGACTTTATTTGATAGGACTTTGTCTGGCCTTCTATGAATGAGTATGTCTGAGAAAATACTTAGCCGAAATTGTAAAGCACTGACGGATCATGTGGTTGCTTGTTTCTTCTTCTCCAGAAAGCATATGCTTGCCAGCAGCTCTTTCATGGGAAACTCTTTTGATTATGCAATGATGCATTCAAACTTCTCAAGTCCTGGTAGAGGACTTGCTAGTCTCGAAGCTTCAGGGTTAATAGCTCGTAATACCAAAATGAGTATGGATGCATTGGCTACACATAATCTAGGTTTTGGATTCCCATTAAGTCTGAACAATAGTAGTTTGCCCATGAGATTTCCATCCTTGGATCCAAGTGAGTTGTTTCTGCAAAATCTCAGGCATTTCATATCTGAAAGGCATGGAGTATTGGAAGATGGTTGGCGTGTCGAATTTAAACAACCTTTAAATGGTTATCAGTTATGTGCAGTGTATTGTGCTCCGAATGGAAAAACATTTAGTTCAATACAAGATGTTGCTTGTTATCTGGGCTTGGCAGTTAATGGTAACTACAGCTGTATGGATGCTGACATCAGGAATGAGAGTTCTCTTCTTCAAGAAAGATTGCATATGCCCAAGAGAAGAAAGACATCAAGATGGCCAAACAATGGTTTCCCTGAGCAAAAGGGTAGTTCAGTCAGTGCCCAACTCAGGCGTTTTCCATTCAATGGTCAGACAATGTTTCCTTTTGTTGTTAAATCTGGTACTCATCTCCAGGCTGGTGATTCTCTTAACTCTGGAAATAATGGATGCGGTTGTGAGGAAGCTAATGTAAGTGTAAACTTGAAATATCTCCTGATTGATTGTTTTTGACTTTTTTTCCAATCTTTTTGTACTTCTTATCCTCATGTTTGTGTATTTAATTTTCAGAATGGACTTCCGATGCAGTATGAAGATTTCTTTGTTCTGTCGCTTGGACGAATTGACATAAGACAGTCTTACCATAATGTCAACGTAATTTATCCAATAGGATATAAGTCCTGCTGGCATGATAAGATCACGGGGTCTCTATTTACATGTGAAGTATCTGATGGCACTTCTGGTCCTGTTTTCAAGGTTACACGGTCACCATGTTCTAAATCATTTATTCCAGTTGGATCAACTGTCTTCTCCTGCCCAAAGATTGATGAAATGGTGGAACAGAACATTGACAAACAAAGTGATCGTAGAGACAGTACTCTAGAGCATGATGATGACGCTAATATTGAGACCCTTCTTTCGGATCACAGCCCACCTCTTGGAGATGATATATTGTCTTGTTTACGTGAGAAGAATTTCTCCAAGACATTCAATTGCCTGCGCTCAGAGGTTGGTTCTTCTCAAGTAGAATCTGATAAAGTTTTATCCTATAATCAGGACCGTGGGGTTGAAATTGGTGAAATTGTTGTGGAAGAAGATTCATTATCTGCTGCATGGAATAAGGTGTCTCAAAAACTTGTTGATGCATGCTCCATTGTAATGAAGCAGAAGGGTACCTTTAATTTCCTTTGCAAGCATGTTGACAGAGAAACAAGGGAAATCAACTGGGATACCATGAATGAGAAAGACAATGTATTTTTATCGTTGTCTAGATTTTGCTGTACTTTGGGTCCTCACAGTGTTACGTGTGGTGAAAAGGATAAAAGTGAGATTGCAACTCTAGTTGATGCTTTGTCAAGGTGGCTGGATCAAAACAGATTTGGACTTGATGCAGATTTTGTACAGGAAATGATTGAACATATGCCTGGTGCCGAATCATGTACAAATTATAGGACTCTGAAGAGTAGAAGTTCTTCTTCTGTTCCTGTAACTGTAGCGGAAGGAGCGCTAGTTGTCAAACCAAAAGGTGGGGAAAATGTCAAGGAAGAAGTTTTCGGTGAGATTTCTCGGAAATCCAAGAAGCCTAAACTAAATGGAGATTTTGGTGTCAGAAATCTACACCCTCCTCCTGGGAGGCCAATGTGTTTGAGGCTTCCTCCTGGGCTTGTTGGTGACTTCCTTCAGGTACGGCATGTGTTTTCCTTATATGGTAATCTACAACGTACCCCTCCATTCACTAAGTCCTGCCACACATATATGATCGTCATTTTTGTATGCTTGCCTAATTAGGTATCTGAAGTGTTCTGGCGTTTCCATGAAATTTTGGGTTTTGAAGAGGCTTTCTCATCTGAGAAGCTTGAACAGGAGCTTATCAATCCAGTGTTTGATGGTTTGTTTCTTGATAAACCTGGGAAAGATGATAAGAGAAGTGAGATGAACTTTACTAATAAGGATTGTTCCGGTACTGAATTTTTTTCTTTGTTCGATGAATCTCGCCAACCTTTTCCTGCTAAAAATACCTCTGCTTCTGTACTAAAGGAGACAAAGGCAGAGGATTCTTCTGATTTTGCGATTTCATATTCCTCTCATGGGCCGTGTGTGGGTGCACTTCTAACAAGGACTCACATTTCGCTTCTGCAAGTGCTAATATGTGAGCTGCAATCCAAGGTAGCTGCATTTGTTGATCCAAACTTTGATTCTGGAGAGTCGAGATCCAGACGAGGACGGAAAAAGGATGACAGTACACTTTCTGCTAAAAGAAACAAGCTGCATATGCTTCCTGTTAATGAGTTCACTTGGCCTGAATTGGCCCGTAGGTACATCTTGTCTCTTTTATCAATGGATGGGAACCTCGAATCAGCAGAGATTTCTGCGCGTGAAAGTGGTAAGGTATTCCGTTGCTTACAAGGGGATGGTGGTTTGCTTTGCGGCTCGCTTACAGGAGTGGCTGGGATGGAAGCAGATTCAATGGTATGTTTTTGTTAGTCCTTCAAATGTTTTATCATTTACCTTTCAAGGAATTAGTCAGATTAAACTTTCTCAAGCTTATTTGAAGCTATGTTCCATTTGAAGGTCACTATATAGTTATTGAGCTTCCTTTCTCTTCTTGAATCGTTTTAGTTTCTGACATTTTGATACTGTTAATCTTAAATATCCTGAAGGTCCTCTTTTATTTATACTGACTGGAAAGGGTTACTTTGTGTTTCAAATGAGTTCATGAACCACCCTCACTGAAAGGGAGTGATCGTTGGATTTACGTGTGGATATTAAATCTATATCTTCAGTTACTTGCAGAGGCTATTAAGAAAATATCTGGTTCTTTGACAAGCGAACATGATGTCCTTTCTGTGGAAGATGATGATTCCGACGGCCTTGATGCTACTGAGACAAACACTTGCAATGGTGATATTCCAGAGTGGGCACAGGTTCTAGAACCTGTGAAAAAGCTTCCAACAAATGTTGGGACTAGAATCAGAAAGTGTGTCTATGAAGCTTTAGAGAGAAATCCACCAGAGTGGGCAAAGAAGATATTGGAGCATTCCATCAGTAAAGAAGTATATAAAGGCAATGCATCAGGACCAACA